TAATCTACCAAATGAATATCATGTGAATGTTACAATTAAGTAATTTAATTCTCATATTACTTTATTTCATCAATGTAAGAGAAGCTCTGTAATAATGTCATGGTTCGTTCGTGGGGCTGCTAACCTCTGTAAAGATCAGTTGTACGGGAGACTGGTTGAACGAAAATCCACTGTGTCATCATCAAGTGTTGATATACCACAGCCATAAGAGCTGCTGATTCTTGTGAAGACAAATAGGAAATATCTACTTTTGTCTGTCTTCTGTTTGAGTTTCTTATCATTTGTTTCCTTTCCTATCTGCAGCAAGAGGCATTGACTCCTAGACCACCCTGCACTGGTGAGTTCTTCAATGAACTTTGTGAGTATAAGGAAGACAAGTCGTTACTCGAAGACCAGTCACAGCTCGCTCCAACCATGGTTAGCAACAGCGGAGGTTCCAGCGTTGATCATGGTTTCTATGACATGCAGAGTAGTAGCAGCAACAGTGGAAGTGGATCATCATCATGTTCATCGTCTCAATACAATTCGTCCCATTACCACAGTATTTCCACCTTGAGCTGTAGTGTAAACCTGACAGGCAACAAACAAATTGTATTGATGAAAGACCCTGAAACGGGCTATTCAATAGCAACATCGGTAACAGACAAATGTGACGTACCTTCAGAAAATGATAACACGCAACCTTTATTAATCATGAACGGGAATTATGGCATAGCCGAAGAGGAGGAGGAGGAAGATGAAGACAGCGAAGGTTACGTCAATCCCAACGATGTTGAACCTGGTACAGTAGGTGTCTCACGGATAATTCTGAAGGGAAATGTGTACAATAAACCCAGCACGAGGCATAGATACCAATCGAGTCAAAGTGACACTTCGACTGTCTTGACTTCTCTGAGTGATCAGGGGTTTGGAAGTGCAGACAGTGATCCAGATTCTCGACAGGTCAGCCCCACGGAAACAACTTCTCCCTTGTTTCCAGAGCTCCTACCTTCGAAACAAGACATAATGGATTCAAATGTTGACACGAACGACAATGCAGACTACTTTGGTCTGGATGAAATCGAAAGCATATGCAGTTCCATGGCGTCCTCAAGGTATAGGTCGTCCAATGGCGAAGATTTCCCTTATAGGTTACCGTCAGTTACGCAGTATCGTAGGAAATCCAAGTCGTCCAACAAGAGCTCGGGAAGTGAAAGTGACATCTTTTCAGGTTACATGTCTATGGCGACCAAAGAAGAAAGCGACAATGACTACGGATATGTTTCAAAGGATCGTGAAAGTGGTGCACGAGAAGGTGACGAAACGGCATATGTGTCCAATCAAGAAAAGGTCAATGCCATATCCACTTATGATATGAGTGAGTTCGGTTCAGAAGCACATCCACCTGTAAATAAAACCATGAGAACTGAACCCTTCTCCAATTCATCGTCAGGAGATATCATCAGAGGAGAAAACCGCCAAAGTCCCATCTGCATTACGATACCAAAAACATCTAGTCCTTCCTCTTCCGGGTCGTCACCTTGCCCCTCTGTAGCTTCCTCTCCTAACTCCATTGTCTCTGAAATGCCATCGGTACTTGCAGACAGACAGATTCTAATGGCAAGAGATTTTGAAGAAGAAGGGATTCCTTCAGATCTGATACGTGCAGGCCCTGCTCTTCATCCTGACTCATCTGACGATCATCCAGGGGAGGGTGAGTGTGGTGGTAAAAAGGATGGATATGTCTCACACGTGGAAGCAACCAAGATGTCAGCAACCAAGATGTCAGTCATCCAATCTCGCAGACTTCCTGAAACGATCAAATCAAAGGAGACTCCACCAGGATCGTCAAGCCGGTTACATACAGTAGACAACCATCCAAAGAAAGCATCACTGCGCGATATATTGTTCACTGATCCTGTATCAGGTTACGTAAGCAATGCAGTTTTTACATGAAACAACTTTACCTGGTAAAAACCTAATTTATGTTTGCCCATACCGCTTTTTTCATTCAAAATTATCCAAAATGTTTTTTACAAAAGAAAACAATTTATTTTGGTTACTAAAGAAGTATCTCTATATCATATTTTAGTGAGATCCTCCTTCCTCTTGCCTCTTCTTTCTGCCCCCTTATCTCTCTCTCTCTATTTCTCTCTCTATCTTTCTCTCTCTCTCTCTCTCTCTCTGTTTTAAACAAAATATATATCACCCTCTTTATCCTTCCCTCTCCCCGAAATCTCCCTCTTTATGTTTTCTCTTTCTCCCTTTTTCTTCCTCCTGGACTCTTTCTGCTTGTACTGCAGTCAGTACTGAACAATGTTTCTATGAAGTGCAATACTTCGTGCAATGTTAAGAGCACAATGCTTGTGTTGTAATAGATTTAATGTTTGCTAACGATTTTTCCTTACACGTGCAACAATTCATATGTCACGTGCTGCTAATCAGTGTTTATAAAATATACCATTACAGACGATTCAAAATATTCGTGAAATTCATATATTCATTAATCTTGATCTGGCGTCCTGTAAAATTGTAAATAGGCATATTATATTGACGTTATCGTTTGTGAGGTTTGGAATCGTTATACTATGTGTATATATATATATATATATATATGAATTAATATTTTTCAAGAGTTTGATGGTTGTGATTATGCACTGCCTGTTAATTTCGATAATTTATTACGTAAAATTGGGCGTATAATATGGATGCAACATATAAAACTGCTGCAATACGATTCTTCAAAAGCTAATGCTTTACGAATTGCATTTTATTGCTGCAATAAGTATGTGAATAATATTTATGGACCTATATGTTTAGATGTATGAATCATGTCGATAAAAATGTCAACTATATAGTCTGCACTAGTCATCATTATGCATTTAGTCAAATAATTATGAAATATTTTTGTCGTGAAAAACGGCGATTAGATGTATTTTTGTATTGAAAAATTCAACATCATTCATTCAAGTAATTTTTTTTTCTGCAATATTATGTGAAAGATATATTATTTTGCTTGTGTAAGTTGCAATATTATCAATTATGTAAATGACTACTCAAAACTGTGTAACTATATTGAGATATTAAACATAATTATTATGCATATTTCTAGTATGGCGATTAGGAACTGCCACAAAACATAAATATTTATAAAAAAAACATTGACTGTTTACAAGTAATCAAACGAAGAGAGCATTGATAAGTTTGTGATTGTAAATACTCGTATAACGTGCGGGCAGTTTAGGGATTGAGTAAATCATGCCTTGGTAACGATGTTGTTTAATGCCTTGATTGAACTGAAAGTTCTTAGACCGATACATTGTACATTAATTTTGTTAAACAAATCTAGAAGTAACTGATGTACATGTAATATTAAGGGAATACGTAATGTTGTAATATCCGTTTCCCTTTCTCCCTCTTTCTGCTGATCTAATCTCCAATTTCTAGAGATTCTGCAATCAATTCTTTTCTTTTTCTATCTTTCTTCCTTTTTGCCTTCTTCTATTCTTCCCCATTTTTGCCTAGTATTTTTAATCTCCTTCCCCAAATTCATAATTTCTTCATTGTTAACGGTATATATTTGTTAACTTATTGATTTTCAATGTATACTTTGTTTTTCAAGACGTACTGTAGAAATGCCTCAACAAGCTCTGATTCTTTTTAGTTCCTTTTTTCTCCTGCCATTATGTATTATATTTGTCTAGTTTCATTGTATATCTTTTGTAATAAACATAAAAGAAATTTTTTGTATTATATACAAGAAATATTACAGGCAGTCCTTTGCAGGACTTCCCAATCCTCCCCCTTTCTCACATGGTGCAAGCCTACTGTATAATATATATGTACTTATATTAAATTGCAAATAACATTACAATTTCATTGTATTGTGTTTTGCATGAGAAATAAAAATCATTTGAATACGAGATAAGATTCTCTCACGTTTGTCAATTGTCGGCTATGAGAAGACGGGAAAGTGAATGAAATGAACGGAAGATATGATCAAAATAAAGTGGGCGAGGAGAAAGAGAAGGATATGGGTAGCTGTATGAAGAGATTGCCGTAAGAGCATGGAGGGGTACTAGACATATATTTTTCAGTGGGGGTAATTACATTGCAATTATTGCATGAAAATAAATTTTCATAAAAATATGGGAAGCACCATTAGCAAGAGAGGTCATCTTTTTGGAAAATAGCCCCCTCCCCATAATTATTTTTTTCGTCGGGGAAAAAATAATCTAGTCACGGTATGGTAAATTGGGTGATTACATTTTGTGAATTTCCCGGTCATGAAAATGAAACGGCGTTTAAATCTTTTCGGCGCTTTTACCATGTTATATTAGTAATCTAGTTGCAAAGAAACCTGACAAGTTCAACTTGTCATCGTAAGGGCAAAAAACAACCATCGTCACAATGGACATTTCCACAATTCTCTGACGTAACAATGATAAGCGTAATGCGCTCTCTCAAATGCGCGACATCATAAGGGCAAAAATACAGCTATCACGTGACACACGTCACAATGGACATTTCCACAATTCTCTGACGTAACAATGATATTACATGTATTTATGTTGAAAAGTATTCGCGCAATGCGCTATCTCAAATGCGCGTGCGCGTTATTGCTACCTTAGATTTCTACAACATCGATCCCGTACAAGTAGGTCACGTCATATGCGTGGAGATTTTCAATAGGCCCAAACAACAACAAAGTAAACATCTCTTGCACATCCATGCTCTATCTCTACCATTATCAAGCAATTATTCTCGATGCAGAGGTTTTTCAAAAATAAACAATCATGAAAGCATAACAGAATTATAAGTTGGAGAGATATCGTTGGAAATGAGTAATCACCTACCTGAAACTGCTTTGGGCGATCGAAAGTATGGAGAAGAATTTTGGAGCGCAGCTGAAGAATTCTGCTCATGCCATAGTGATGAGGATCATGGCGGTAACACTAAGTTCTGCACGTGCAGTGACTACGAATACATCTGTGTCGGTAGCACACTACATCTAAAGAAAGGTGCCGAGTCCGGAGGCCCCATAAAAATCGCAGAAACTCAGCATGATATTCAAGTAAGTATTATTAAGAGACGAGTGATGGTGATCAAAAAGAAGAGGGAGGTGGGGTATGTGTGGGGCAAGCTAAAGAAAAAGTTGGGAACAACCAAGGCAGATCAATGAGCTCTTTTTCGCAAGCATTCCAGACTGTCATAAAGCAGTCACCTTTGAGAGAGTCTATATGATATTTGTATTTAGTCGGCCTATTTTGTAGAATTAAGTCACCGTGTTGTAGAAATGAAAGAAATTAAGAAATTAAGTAAGGGAGTTGTGTGTCTTGAAAATTAACAAAAGTAATCCTGTCGCATTTTCTCTTGGATCTTACTAAGATATACGTTAATCTAGATCTAAATACTAAAGCCATAGTCTAGTCATTCAGTAGCACCAAATGCTTTTAAGTACTGCTATTCATAACTATGTCGGCAAGCTGAAAGATTTATTTTTATCCAGTAGGACATGCTATTAACGGAGCTAAAAATATATATTGACCTCATCCAACTTTATGTTCCAAAGATAACTTTTCAAGCTGTAGGCACATTCAAGATTTGGCGAAAAGTGTTATCGAATGGTCGTAGTTATTCTAGAATCAACAAAAACAAAAAGAGGAAAAGGGTATTCTAATTTTAATGGTTTCTCATTTCGAAATTTGGTGTGATTAATTCATTCTAAAATATCTAATCTACTTCCAATTTAATTTTACAGCACTCGACTGGAGCAGGTTACGGTGATGACAAAAGTGGTTCAACGAATGTCCGGTGTGCAGAACAGGATAAAGGGCCAGTAAGACAGACAACATCTCAAAGTCATGTCTCGATCACGAAATCGGAATGTGATACACAATCTACCGGAAGTCATTTCACTAAAGATAGTAGCAAGTCAGTTGGGTCAAAGTGTGGAGAAGAAGGTACAAGTAAGGAAGGTAGAAAATCTACCTCTTTAGGGAGCACACACAGGAGAAAGTCGTCAAAGAACAGGACAGGAAGGAGAAAAGATGGAGTAAACACCAAACGTGTAGGACTAGTGTTAGGTAATCAACAATTAGCGTCAGTTGTACTTTCGGCTCCCTCAAGTACGACTGATGCAGTAGGTTCGTCTCCCTCAAGTATGACTGATGCAGTAGGTTCGTCTTCCTCAAGTATGACTGATGCGGTAGTAGGTTCTTCTCCCTCAGGTATGACTGATGCAGTAGTTGGTTCGTCTCCCTCAAGTATGACTGATGCAGTTGTAGGTTCGTCTTCCTCAAGTATGTCTGATGCGGTTGTACTTACGACTGTTGCAGTTTTAGGTTCGTCTCCCTCAGGCATGACTGATGCAGTTGTAGGTTCGTCTCCCTCTTGTATGTCTGATGCAGTTGTAGGTTCGTCTCACTCAAGTATGACTGATGCAGATACAGATTCGTCTTCCGCAAGTGTGGCTGATCCGATTGTACTTATGACTGTTGCAGTTGGAGGTTCGTCTCTCTCAAGTATGACTGATGCAGTTGTACGTTCGTCTCCCTCAAGTATGACTGATTCAATTGTAGGTTCGTCTCCCTCAAGTATGACTGATCATGCTGATCAGTCTGTATTCCCTGACCAGCATAAAGAGAGGAGCTCCGTGGAATCAAAGTATCAGCAAAGGGATCATGGTAAAAGGGCGAAAAAGATACTTGGAGTTAATCAAGTTCATACCCATCGTGCCTCCGAACAGAGTGAATATCTTCTTGGAGACGAAACGAACGCCAAACATCTCTCTCACAAGCACCAAAAAACTTCAAAGAAAACCTCCATTAAAGGTCAAGAAAAATCACTTTTGAGAGATATTGATGGCGAAAATAAAAGCCATTCTGTGGCTTCGAAGAGCCAAAGTGTTCAAGAAAATGAAAATGACTATAATCCCTGCCGTTTGAAAGATGAAACTGAAGATCCGGAAGTGTCTGAATCGATGGAGAACAAGGACAACAAGGTTTCATTTTCTATTCAAGGGCATAACAATAATGAAACTTATAAAGCAGACAGAAAAGGAAAAGAAAAAAGAAAAAATCTGAAGAATGCAAATCTATATTCCGAAGAAACAGTTGACAAAGAATCGCTCTCCCAACACGGCCAAAAAGGTGGACAGAATACAGATGGAGATGGAAAAGAGGAACTTCTTTGTAATCACTGTTCGAAACGTCTACATGAATCATCCTGTGATGATTTTCTAAAAGAAGAACTTCCGCAGAATTACATATCATCCGACCATTCGAAAAATGGCTACACAATAAGGGGACAATTGTTCGAGCCCGCAAAACAAGACTTAGGAAAATCATGTAAACAATTTCAGGGAAATGATCATGATGATAAAATGACTTCAATACAATTTTCACTCCCCGCGCCTTCTCATTTGATAGCGGGTAGAGAAATGTCTGAAGTTGATGCTACTTACACCACCAATGTTTCCTTTTCTATTCGAGTTAATAAACATGATAAGGAAAAAAATCCTGACACCGATGAAAAGGAAAAATCACGAGATAATGTGAAACATGATGATGTTCATTCCTCGAAACACCCACAGGTACCTGCATGTGGAGGAAATACTGGCAGTAGTTTCCAAAGAGAAGATATTTCAGAGAATGATCTACATATCAACAATTCGAAAAACAATGACGAAAAACAAAACCACCGTTTCATAAAAGGGACAAATGACGGAAGGCAAGATGGCGAAAGACACGCACTGTCTCATCAATCACATACGGAGAATGCAGATATTAAGGGAAAGGACGAATTAATTGGCAATAGAACGCAGGACTATGTTCATCCCTCTGAAAATCTAAACGAGTCCTCTGATGAAAGTGGTGGCACTAGTTTTCAAGGAGAGATTGAAAAGAATGACTTGCAAACGAACTTTCTGAGATATGATGAAGAAAATCGAAGCGACCTTTCGATTCAAACGAAACGAATCTCCAGGGATAAGTTGGATGACTCGGATACACCATGTAAACAACTTCAGAGAAAAAGTGTTGACGAATTTCCATCCAAACAAACTCGGACCCAAGAGCTGTCTTTTCCGATGTCTGATATTTCAGAGAATAATCTACATATCAACAATTCGAAAAACAATGACGAAAAACAAAACCATCGATTCATAAAAGGGACAAATGAAGGAAGACAAGATGGCGAAAGACACGTACTGTCTCATCAAACACATACGGAGAATGCAGGTATAAAGGGCAATGACGAATTCATGGGGAAAAGAACGCAAGATTATGTTCGTCCCTTTGAATATCTAAACGAGTCCTCCTCTAATGAAAATAGTGGCAGTAGTTTTCAGGGATCTCGAATCTCCAGAGATAATTTAGATGACTCGGATACACCATGTAAACAACTTCAGAGAACAACTATTGACGAATTTCCATCTAAACAAACTCGGACCCAAGAGCTGTCTTATCCGATGTCTGATGTGGGAAAAACCGATACGAATGCTACCATGAAGCCCAAGGGTCGTGTTGTCGTTGAAGATGAGAAACAAGGTCCACAATACTTGGAATATCCACATACATCCTCTCATGATCCAAGTGGTGGGAAAGGTCGTCCAAGAAAAGAAGTTCCGTTAAATGACCGACGGACCGGTTTGAAAGAGGGTGACGAATCGAGCACCCCACCTTTAATTCGGTCTAACCAAAACATTGAAGACAAATTCGATAATGAAACTCGTGTCTTTCTAACATATCCAAAACGTATAAAGAAAGCAGGTATTACACGTCCAAAAGGCCGTGCTCCACAGACTGATCTACCAACAACTTCGAGAAATGATGAAGATAACACTCTACCAATGATTCGGACTAATCGAAATTGTAATGGTATGCCACATGACACGGATGATTCTTGTGAAGAAAGTCAACCAAAGAACGAGACTGATCTGGCGACATCAATAAGATCTTCTAGTCAAGAAGACGCAAAGACAGGCACGAACAACGCCAAAATGGACACTACTCTTGCGACCGAAGCTTCATTCTCCATTCGTGGTAATATGGTACTGTCTGCAGGGCCACAAAAGAAGTATTTCTACGACATGTGGATGAAAGGCAAGTTTTGCGACGTCAATATAGTCGTAGAGGATCACGCTTTTTTGGCCCACCGTGTGGTACTGGCGGCAAACAGTGAATACTTCGAAAAATTCTTTCTCAACACTCCTGCTAAGACCGATATACTGACTGTATACATATCAGATATTTCTGCAGACGTTTTCCGTGACATTCTTCGTTACATGTACACAGGTGATGTTGACATTCAGTTCGTTCACGTTTCTCAGCTTCTAAGAGGATCACTCTTTCTTTCGATCAAAAGTCTTACGAATGCACTTCAGACGTTTCTCTTGAACACCTGGAAAGGTGAATGCATTGGTGCGTTCTGCCTGGCACAAACTACAGGTCTACATGACCTTCTCAGGGAGATTCTGAATTACATTCGGACACATTTCGTTGAGGTGTCCACGTCGAGAAACTTCGCTCTCTGTCCCGTTGAACACGCATCGTGTATCTTGAAAGACGACAACCTACGGATAAACGAAGAGACAGATATCCTCCATGCTGTCTTGCTGTGGCTAGAGCACCACACTAGGGACACCAGCTCGAATTTAAGGCTGCTGAGACACGTGAGATTTGAATACATACCCCTTAAAACAATCGAACGCATCGAGAAGAGCCATCTCAATTCTATTTCCAATGAATCAGTGAGGCGCTACATTCAAGATGCAAGAAAGCGGGCATCTTGTTTGGAAATAGATCAGCTCCATTTCGATCCTCCAATCATTAGGCAACGCATAGCAGAAGTGGTTGGATGCCGCGCCTCAAGAATAATTGATTCCGAGAGCATCACTGCTAAGAACAGCGATCGTTTCTATAAGACGTCTGACGAAGAGGAACGCATCAGTTCATCGAAAGAAGAGCAGACTCCCTCTTATTCTCAAGGTGGTTTGTCATTGTCTTCGATCGAGAAATCGCCCTCTTCAACTAAATCGTCCAAATCTCTGAATACAAAAGCAGGGACATTTCCATCATACCATGACATCGATACAACCCCTATTCGCGTAAGCGTATCGCAAGATGTATCAGCATCTCCCGTTGCATCGAATGACGATCTTGGAGAAAGTAGCAGCCAGGAATCTACAGAGGATGAGACAACCATACAGGTAGTGCGTATAGGTGGTATATCCAGAACATGGGACGAGGACAGTGTGCACAGTGATATCGAGAAGCTGGACCGCGGACGTGGCAAAAGATGGGAAGAATGGATATCGTTTGCAGACCTACCTGTTGCCATGCACCATCAAGCAGCCTGTTATATCCACAACTCAATTTACATTTCAGGCAAGTTTTTTTCTTCTTCCCCGTTCGCTTCTCTAAAGTGTGGCCCCTAAAACAACGATGAAGTCATGATCAATAAAAGTACAATATTCCTTGATTTAAAACAATTCATACTAGTAGCAATAAATATACCTTAAACTTTATGATCATTATGTTCAGTGAGGTCTTAGATCTGATAACAACCAAGGAAGATCATGAATCACACACAATTGATCTTGACATGGAATAGTTTAGGTCAGTCCATTATCTTCTAATTACTTATGTCACATTTTACATGTTTTATCGCAAAATAATCTTATCACACAGGTGGTCATGTACAGTTGCCCTGTGATGCAAGCTGCAACAATTTCCAACCCAGTCGCCTCTTCCATGTGTATGATCTGATGAAAGCGAAGTGGTATCGGCTCGCGGACCTGGATCAGGCCCGGGTTTTTCATCAGATGGTGGCGCTTTTCGGGCAGATTTATGTGATCGGTGGGCAGGGGCAAGACGGAGGGTAAGAAATCTTTCATCGTCCTGCATGGAACACAATCTCAAAAACTGTCGAGTAATCAACCAGCGTGATTTTAGTAGCCTATTGTATTGTCTCCTGAAATCATATTCTGATGTTAAAATCGCGTTGTTAGGCCATCTTTTATTTTTTTTCAACATTAAAAAATACAATGAAGGCATGTAGTTACTATAATTATTATTACCAGTGTTATTAATATTATTATTGTTGTTTTTACTATTATTGTTACATTATTTTAAGCAGCTGCCCATTTTTATGATTTAGTAGGTCTACAAAAGCTTTCATGCACTCCTGTGATCTTTCTCAAGCGAATAGACCGACAAATGAAAATATTTATGAATCATGCTACGTGATATACGTCACTTGAATAATAAACTATATAGGCCTTGCATGTATCACTATTTTCCATTTTGTATTTACACATGGTTCTAAAGATACGGGTTTACTAAACTACACGTTTTATAGAATCGCACCATGAAATCAGGATAATGAATGTAGGCTAATTATTATGCCTGCTATATATGGCAGGAGTTTCATTAACGTTGGTTTTATTTCCTAATGGGTCACGTGCTGTAACAAAGAGGTGAAGGTGAAAAGAGGTGATTTTCTTAGAGGAAAGTTTGAAAGTTAGTCATGTACGCTGACGTAAAATCATAATTCCCAACACTTGTTTGTGATCCTTTTATATTCATTTGTGTACATTATTATCATTATATATCACCGTATACTAACACCTATGTTTATCTGATTTCATCCAGCACATGATAGGCTTTTTGATCAGTTTGAAATTTCTGGGGATATTACAGTATTATTATAGTTTTGGAACAGAAACGTTGTGCATTTAAAAATGCATTCTTGATCGTAGTGCCATTATAGGCCTTGAAAGTAGTCCTCTCCCTGAATAAGCTCAATAATCGCTTTTTAATAACAGAGCTTTGGCGGCAGTTGATCGGTATTCGCCATACACGGACAGTTGGCGCCAGGTAGCTCCCTTGAGTTCCCCGCGCTATGCCACGGCTGCGGCACCGTACAATTTCCACCTGTGGGTCGCCGGTGGTGCTACCAATCACGTGACCAATCGTCGTGGCCAATCATCTCAAAGTGCGGATGAAAGTAAAGAGTCCGGCGATGAAAAAGGCGCAAGCGTCTTTGATGGATTCTACAAGAGTTCCAACACACAGCTGACTGGGATCGTCGAGTGTTATTCACCCCATGACAACAGGTATACATTATAGAATATATGAACAATAAAATCTTTAAATAAACGAAGGCCATAGATAGTGAGCTTAATATATAATGTCTTTGTCGGGATGTGATAATTATCTTCGAACTTTACGCCAAAGTCAAGATACATCATAATCAAAGCGAACTTGTTGCATGATAGACAACAGTATACAAGTATTTCTACCCTCATAGATAAGGGTTATGGAGAAACCAACTTCCATTCTTATATTTATATAAGTGATATTAACGTCTTATTTCTATTGATTTTTCTTCAACTTAAATGAAAAGAGAATTCAACATTTTCGATTAGTTAGTGCTACGGTGCTACCTTCAAGTGAAAGCCAAGTAGGCTCCTTTGTTATCCACAATAACAATAAATCTGTATTTTTAATTTGTTACCCAAAACACTCGTTTTTTCAATTTTGGATTATGAAAACACTTTGGTATTACACATGTTGTTGTTGAGGTTGTCCGCCGCGGTTCGAATACACCCCAAACACTCACACACACACACTTGCAAAAGTTTAAGGCCTTGTCGTAAACTTATATTTTATGAGGCTGCAAAAATCAAGACGGTTCTTCTGATTTTCTTTATAATTAATTCATCTTTGTTATTTAGCTGGTCAAAAATTAACGGACTGCCAACACCAAGATGTCACGCCTCTCTTCTGCGGATCAATCAACGTCTCTTTCTCGTCGGTGGTTTTACTTGCATACGCCACTTTCCCGATGACGATAGCTCCACGTCTTCGGTAGACGTGTATGATGACGTCACAGAATCGTGGCGTTATGTAACTGACGTCGTAGAAGGAAACTACGGCGCAAATGCCGTGGCTGTAGGTAAGTGCGCTATGGATTGATAATCGTGTATATTACGAGGATGTGAAATGTTTATAATTTTGTTTTCTTTTTCTTGTTTCCTTTTGATTGGGAGTGAGTGGAAAGAAAGTTAAACATAATTTTGATCGCGGTCGTAGATCACAATTTCGAGCGTCTCCATTCCAATGTCGAACAGTTTATAAATATTATGAAAAAGACGTAACTTTTTGTATCTTTCACCCAAAGATGTTTTGATTAGTGATAATGAAAGAACTTTGTTTTCATACTGCTTGGGCTGAAGTAATTCCCGATGTCCATCTTTACTTTTCTACAAACTTATGTCAATTTTTTTTCTGATAATCAATTTGGATGTTTGCAGGACCCAAAATAGTCGTTCTCGGAAAACCTGGTCCTTTCTTGGAATCTGATGGTGACGTCATATCAATCTTCGACACGGCGACTGATAAGTGGGAATTGAGGCGGAGTCTGTTGCTAGAGTCTAGAGTTGGACATGCGTGCTGTGCCATTCCTGTATCGTTGCATTCGCCATTGCGTCGCGCTTGAAGATACGATTGCTTGATGTTCAGCAAAATAAAAAGCTTAAAATATCTGATAGTATCCTTAGACCTATCCCGAGGATGTAATATTCCACATGGCACGAAGCCAACAACAATGGCGAAATATACGATCGAGTTTTAGAGACACAACCGTACTAGCAAACACCATTAGTCAACAAAAGATCTTTAACTAAAATATGAAATGATGCGCTGTACTTGTGCAATATGCAATTGGTTTGGTTTTATTTTTTCGTATAAAAAATCAAAAGCATGCAAGAAAACAATTTACAGAGAAAATACAAATCAAGAATTAAAAACGGCTGGAATGCTCTAAGTTGGTCAAATTCCAAGAAATGTATCACACCCTGAAGTACTTATGACTTGCAGGCTCCATTCTGATGTGAATAAATAACAAAATAATCACTTTGACCTTGTTTATGATTTCAAATTGTGATTTATTATTTCTTCCACTCATCGATACAAAATATACTCTGCTTTTGTAATAATAAATACCTATTGACCAATATGTGACATAATAATGTATAATCTTAGATTTGTTCCCGACACTTCATAACAACTGCAACTATTATAAACCCACACATCAATCATAGATCTTAAACATAAACCTTAAACATAAATTTCAAAGCATAAATATGACATTTTAATCACACTTAGGCGTGAGAGAGAGAGCAAGCAAGTTCATGTAAAATAGTGATAGAATTATTTCTTTGGAATACAATACGAATTTAGAGTCAATTCTCTACATTTAATTGTGTGTGTGTGTGAGAGAGAGAGAGAGAGAGGGAGGGAGGGAGAATGCAAGCGAGTTCATATAAATTAGTATTATTTTTCTGGAATGCATTTTGGTTTAGAGTTCATTTTCTACACATATGCTGCTATTTCATGCCTGTATTTTATGTGAATGTTCTTACTGTTTCAAAAAAAAAATCATCAAGCGTCGAATCTTAATTAGTGTGTAGGAAGTTTAAGAGTAAAACTTTCATGTTTTCATTGAGTAAAAGTAACCATAAATATAAATTTACTGGTACATGTACAGGATTATCAGCTCCATTTTCAAGCCAAAAAAACGTTTGCAATAATGCAGTCATGAATCGATTTAAAAAATGAGAACACATTAAACATATGCTAATAATATAATGGAATAAGGATATACAAATAGTTACAAATGTGGTAGTACTGAAGGCAACCTCAATATATTTCAAATCTTAAGTGACAACATATTTGTATGATTCAGCCCACTTAAAAGAGATATATATATTGCTTTTTAAGATTAAGAAATAATAAGATCTGCTTTTAAAGATGTAAGATATCAACAATTTGCTTTAAAAAAAGTCATACTATACACACAAATGAAAACATGACTAGGTTTTATAACTCTAGCGACTGAATTTTCGATTTTTGGTAAAATTAGTACATTGGTAATACCCTGGAACCATGTTTCCTGAAAATAGCTTCACACACACTATCAATTTACAAATACATTGAAAACATACCACTAAACAATCAGGGGGTGTTTCACAAAGATTATAAGTCAGACTTAACTCTTAGTTGGACTTAAAAATTATGGAGAGCTATTTGTAGCCTTAAAATAAAATATATTAAAAAGCGAAAATTCAAGTATTTTAGACTTTTTATGAATTCCACATGAAGAACATGAAATCTCCTTCATATTAGAAAATATGAATGAGTTGAATCAACATTTTATGCCTTTTAAAATAACTTTTACAAAATATTTTCATAGATGCTAACGGCTTTCCATAATTTTTAAGTCCAACTTAGAGATATGTCCAACTAAGGATCATTGTGAAACACCCCCCAGAATTGTATCCATTCATTTTCACACACAGATAATCAAGCTTAGCTCCTTCATTCAAAATGGAAGAATATTGTGCAAGGGTCACGAAAGACACAACAGTTTTTTCTTATCCCATTCTCTCATCAAGAGTTGAAATGAAAAACTACCGGTAACTGACATTTACATTGCTCAAGTCAAAATCGAAAATAATGTTTGGCAATCAAATCTACAGCATTTTGAACACTTCTTATCTTACATAGAAAAATCGTATTTGGATTAAATGAAAGGTCTGTGCAAAGTTAAAATTGATCAATTTCATGAAGGTGTTTGCAATTGTGTTTTTAATGTAATGAAAATCAAGGTTAAGATTAATCTTGTCTACTAAAAAGCAAAATCAATTAATCAGATTTCCCTTCCTTCCTTAAAAATTGCCCCTCATTACACTTTGATCTTATCTTATATTATTGTTTCACAACCCATCATCAAAAATACATGTATACATCTCTTTCTATATAAAAAAAAGGATAATATATTCAATCGAAGAATGCAAATGTACAGTACAAAACTACAACCAGATCAATCAGTAAAGCTAAAACTCAAACAAAATATTCTTTAAGTATCAATCAACATTTCACATTTCTGACAGCTGTATAATCAGCTTGGTAGCATACAAATGGCAAGACATATACTCTCATAATTCTCATTGGCAACAATGTTTGTCATTAAGTAGGAGTACAAGTTTGATATGAAATTTAAAAAACATCCGAAAAGAAAACCTCAGTGTTATAGTAGAAAATGAAATGACATATATGGTTTCCTTTGATGGCACATTCTGTTTACCTTCACTTTTTACATGAAAACCTATCATTTCATTTTTCTCTAGTTTAGTTACAATTTGAGTATCGGTATTACAGACAAGTGTCCATATTTTGTCATCAGATTTAGTATTTCTATAAGACTGTACACATTTCTACAAATGTACCTTACTACATATAACCCCTGGCTTGTTCATGTTATGTAATTCCTCTTTCATTTCTTATAATTCAACTTTATTAATGTATCCCCACACCCAAAAGGAAATGATGAACAAAAAGCATTTACGTTCTCTTCTTTAAACTGGAAGTTTCTCTTTTACTGTATGCCTCATACACAAATATGTTAAATACATACAGAGCAAACTTGAATGAAATGAATATAATCAAGGTGAGGTACCAAATAAAAATTCTAGCTTTTCATTATGGCACATTCTCAAATACTTCTGGCACATTTATTCAAGGTAAAGTACATATTTCATGAGAGATCAAGTAAAGGAAACAACATTCAAGAATTGAATGTCATGAATGGAACAAAGTATACTCGTTTTAAAACAATATGAAAATAAATAAAACTTTACAACTCACATCTAGATCCTAATCAAATGATTGGTCAAACGAAGTATTAAAAATGTGTCATTCATTTACTGAGACTAACAATTTTTAATTATGCAATGAGCAGCAGTGCATGTAGAGGTTAATGGGCTTATAATATTATTGTTTATGGGTTAAAGTAAGCATAATAAAATTGGGCTTTATTTTTGAACGATAATTACCCCAAAAAATTGGAAATTTATTTATTTTACATCAAATAATAAGGATCTAGGAGTTTTGTTGTAAAGAACAAATGATGCATGTTTCATTCGTTCATTACAGGATCTATCAGCTCTAATATTAGCTCTTGTTGAGGCTGTATGTGCACCTATCTATCAAAGCCTAATGGCTTTGTGTGATGGATGCATAAAGCCTCAACTCGAGTGCGGATAGATTTTTAAATGAACTCATTCGCATGCATCATTTTGTACAATATCTGTAATTAAAAAATATTATATTAGTTTTCATAATCCAGGCAAGGAAATAAAGATGTATTATAGAAATAAGTCAGGTGCGTGTGAAAACAGGCTAAAACATAGGCAGGAATGTACAAGTACCAGTAAACACAGTTTCAAGGTTGAAAATGTCATTGATATACTTAAATATGCTTTGGTGCATAAAGGCTTCTGAAAGAGCGGAGTTGGTGCACAAAACCTGACTGCGTAGCATAAATGTAACTGATCTCACCATTAATAATAGCAATGTGCGACCCCAAACCTGAAAATATGTGTAGCAGTAGCTTGCATGATTAAGTTCGCTCACACTCCATAAATCACTAGGCAGAAAGACGGGAAGATACACGTTCTTAAAACAAGTGGGGGAGGGAGTCTTTAAAAATTAAGTGATCCTACTTGTTGCTCTGCTAGTAGGTGCCTTCCAGCTAGGTAGCATGAGCAGTGCAGATAGGCCATCCAACATGGGTCTGAAATTAAATTAGAGTTTAAAAAAAGAACAGTAACGGGTGACAATTACCATCATCGCTCTACATAATTATTCCAAGCAAGCAATCACTGGATTAGTGCATGATCTGTAAAGTCTACTTTTAAATACCATTCATGTTGATTCCATTCAGTTAAAGAAATCGTTACCATGGATATCTAATGAAGCTTTTTACATACATGTAGCAGAGAATTCATTCCTTATGGTACAGACAGAGAAAGATGAATAAGAAGAGCATTATATATGTTATATTTTTCCATTTCTGTTTTGCCTTTGTTATGTCTGCTATTGAAATATCTCCACTGAGTCCACTCTAATTAGTAATTGCTTTCTTTTTTTCTTGCACAAAAACAGAAGAACTGTTCCCTTCCCAAGCTACTCTCATTTTTTACACAACGTAACTTTGTGTATATGATTTTTTTTTTCATTGTTTATCACGTCTGCCATATTCATGTTAACTACCTACCCCACTCTGATATATGACAAACTATTTGAGATACCTACCTATATGGCACAGCTCTGTGTTGAATCACTTTGGTTTGTTTGAGTGCTGTATCTAGCTGCTCCTAAAGGTACACAAACAAGAATGATTAACTAACATAAATCACAACTTCAATCCAATTTGTTTATTTCCATTCCAGCAAATACATGAAATAGATAAAGGGGTGTGTATATCAGTGTTAAAAAATATATGGTATGATAGAGAACAAATTAGTATTAGGATGGACATAAAAAAAAGCAAGTGGGGATTGTGTTCTGACGGCCAAACAAGCAAAGCATACATGAAGTGTATTAAAATACATGTTTGACATCATTTTGATTTCATAAATATAAATCAGTGTAAAATATAATTTCTGATAAATATGAACAAATGACAACACCCCCCCCCCCCCCAAAAAAAAAAAAAATAAATAAATAAAAAAATAATAATAATAATATACCTACACAAACCATACACAGTATGCAGTATGATTAAAATGTATTAAAATGTATTAAAATGTATTTTAACAGAGATTTCTTCAATTTTCTTTTAAATGTATTTAACAAAATGATTGATTGTATTTCATCAGTAGGTAGATTATTCTAGACAAATGGAGCATGATGTCGAAATGAAAATAATACTTATTTGTTATTAACACAAAAAAAACTCAGTCTTGGCCTATTATGTGTGGCACAGTTTTCAAGTAAATTTGAAAACGTTTCATTTACAGTTTTCTACTAATTTGCATTATACATGTAGTTCAATTTCTACCCAACATGGTTAAAACACGACAAAAAACTTAAATAAGGTACCGAGCAAAGAGAACCACACTTCATACTGCATTATAAAAACAAATACAGTCAATATGAGGTTTTGGAAAATTGAAGCATATCTGCACTTGCTTACATTTAGTATATTTACTAGGCATATTAAATTCAAGAATGTATCTGTAACGATAATATCTTTAAAATAAAAAAATTTAAAGTACAACCTGCAGAAAAATGATTCAACCTTGCATTTTAGGTTATTCACTTTGGCTCAACCTTCCTTTACACACTTTACACACTTCAAAAAAAATACCTGCATAATATATTGTTTATTAGTCAATGTTAGATAACTGGTCTCCTATACCAGTAACTTGTGAAATTGAAATCGAAATAACGTATCAAATTCTTTTCAACCAAAAAACAACAACAAAAAACACCATATAAAAATAAAAGCTACCATCATTTCTTCTAACTAGTCATATCATGTTATCATATTTTCGAGAGTTGCCCCTTAATTCAACCCACAGATCATAACATCAAAGTGAATTCCCTTACATCATACCACTCTTTAGTCTTTATATGAACAAAATACCCATACACTTAAAAAGATAGTTGAGTTTTGTTGCAGAGGGCGCTACACAGATAATGAAAAACTGAGTGTGGAATTTGAAAAAATATACAATTTAAATGACAAAATCATCTTTGTTTGATCAAAATCGGTTGTCCATAATATTGAAGTCCAACTTAGAGTTAAGTTTGACTTAGGATCTTTGTGAAACACCCTCCTGGGCTGGTATTCAATTAAAAACTTATGTCAGAAATATGATTTTTTTTTTTTTTTTTTTTTTTTGTTGTAGTTGATTTTTTTAAAACTTAGTTTTTGGCTTAGATAAAATACTTGGCCGACTGTGGTATTAATTTGAAGCTTTTAAAGGTCTTGATTGGCAGGCATATGGTCATCATACGCAGTTATCGCATTGAATGCAACACGTTAATTACAAATAATTTTGGATTGACCATGTGACGTCACAATGCTTATCAGTAAGGATTTTGCCTTATAGTCGACTTGCTTTAAAAGTAAAATGCTCAGATATGATCTGAATGCAAGTTTAGAGATAGAAATTAGCCAAGCAAAGTTTTAAGTAAAATGCTAACTTAATCGACATACTAAATTGGAAATGGCCCCAGGTTCATAGGGTTGCGATTACATTTCCCATTAGATTTAGGGTAAGGGTGAAGTACAGTGAGCACGTGTTACCGGTCAACATGAATTTGATCTGTACAACGTAGGTCATTATGATAAAAAGATATGCCATGTCACAACCGTATATCATAATTAACTCGGTTTGTAATCCATTGTCTACCAGCCAGGCGTTCTTATATTTGGTCTACATGGAGTGAGAGAATTCAGAAGTCAAGAGGCTAACACCGACTATTTTTACTATACCAATCACGCTCAGTTCAATACTAAGCATTAACACGTTGTTCTCCACCAACTAACAAAAGACACAACATACCAGTACAGAGTCGCTACTTCACTTACTTCACTGACATCCAGTCCCGAGTCCCACAGAGCCTTCTTGATCTGAACAACCGACAGGTTTCCAGTCGTTTCAATGTCCTGGGCTAGACAATGGCTCAAGATCCTGGACTGGTTGTCGCAGATGAACTTATCAACCATGGCTGCTACATGACTTGGAGGCTAGAATGGGATCAAGATCAAGAGATTGATGAGAGTTAATGCATCGACTTCGTGTCTACACCAACTATCATTCACACTCAGCAGCTCTACAATTGGTAGACAGGGTTACATAAAAGAATTGTTCAGATATAGTATGTGGTAAACTGCAGCAAAAAAATTGCAACTGTGCGCAACAAAGGTCCTGAGCTCTGTGGCATAAAATAGGAAATGTGAAGCATACAGTTAAATCTGCATAAGTTTAATATGTTGGGACTGCAAAAATAGTTTGACTTGTGTGCAATTTGCTTTGGGAAGAGTAAATAAGGCATGTTCTGCCCAGTTTGATCCGGAAAAAGAAAACAAATTTGACTTAGGGAAAATTAGACTTGTACAACTTTGAGTTTATACACATAGTTCATTTAATTACACATTTTGTCATGGCCCGTTGCATAAAACTTACCATTGATGATAACTTTGCCATCAATGGCAACTACCATGGTAACTGGCTCAACAGCCAATCAAAATCAAGGTTTCCATGGTAGTTGCTATTGATGGCAAAGTTACCTTCAATGGTAAGTTTTATGCAACGGGCCCAGGGGGGGGGGGGGGGTGTTTCATAAAGCTGTTCGTAAAGTTACGCGTGACTTTACGAACGACTTGTATATGAAAAGCCAAATGGGATGCTCAATCATTATTGATTATTATTTATTAAGTTGAACTGTGCAGATGTTGATAAACATTCTTATTATAACAACCAGTTTTAATGCAAAGTATATTTTTTGCCATAATTTAATTGAGGTTATTGGAAATATCAGCAAAAATTTTGGGCATCCTATCTGGCACTTCATATACAAGTTGTTCGTAAAGTCATGCGTAAATTTACAAACTCTTTATGAAACACCCCCCTAGTCAAATTCACATCAGCAGACTTACTACGTTGCGTTTATGTCCATCTACATCCAGCTTGAGAACATGGATATCCTTAGACTCCATTACATCCCGAATCTTCTGATGAATAATCAAAGGCATCGGGATGTTCTACAGAAAAAACAATAATAGAAAGCAGCTCTCATCTGACTTTTATGACCAAGGGAAAAGAAATAAGTTGAGAATCGCTAAAGGATTCCAATGTGAAACTTGGCATGCATTTGCAAAATACATATTTTTCAGAAAATGTTTTGTGAATTTCTCTATCAAAAGCAACAAATACAATTTTTTTAAAAGATGTCTGTTACAAAATTGAAAAGAATTTTATGGATGATTGACAACATAACATGTCATGACATAACCAAAATTATAACAGTTCAACCAACAAGAAAAATGACACTTTTAAATTAGACAATACAGTTGATAATTGCCGTTTCCACTTAACAAAATTCTCAAAGCACTAAACATATACTTTTCATTTCATAGAATCAATTTTGACGTAAACTTAGTAGTTGTGGTCATGATGGTGATGTTGATGAAGTAGGAAAGGACGATCGAGATACAGGTGGACAGCTAGATGTTGGCTTACCTGCACTGCTACTAATCTCAAGGTGGGATTCAGTTTGAAAGCTTTACACAGTGCAACCATTCCTTCATCTCCAATGGGGTTCGAAGTTAGCTGTAAAGAAGAAATGGTTTAACTTTGAACAAATTCATTTATGACTTCTGATAACAAAAACCTAAGACAGAAACACGTATTAGTCATATTTTTCAGTTTTATCATATCGATTAGGATTTAACAAGGGAAGCTAGACTATAAACATTCCATAATATTGCCAGAATTTTACTTCTTGTTTTTGATAATCCATGAGAACCAGTGAATTGTGTTGACAAGTTTAAAGCTTAACACTCATAAGAATCCTGAAGAATTTCAAGAGCAAAAAAAATGAATTAATGGAGGGTGAATAAAAAAATGTGCTTTTGAAAAAATGTCTTTATGGTAGTTAATCCACTATTTATTTAACAATTTTTCAGACACAAAAAATATAATTCAGCAAATATTTTGGAAGAGAGTTTTATGCAAAATAGAAGTGATGGCAACAAACAACATTGCATATGCCATTCATTATGAAAACAACAACGAAGCTGTATGGTTTATATATGTCATTTAATTTGTGGATATTTGAGTGGAAAATAAATCAAATCAAATCAAATCAACAAAGTTAGCTTACCAGGAGTGCTGCTAAGCGAGTGTTCTTTTTTATTCCGATGGATAGCTTCTGAGCTCCTATACTATTGATATGATTATAACTGAAAGAGAAAAAGATATTGGACTAATAATGGGCTGAAACTAAATGGATAAAATGCCAGGGAGAAAATTAATTGGCCAAGTGGGAGAAGTGTTTCCATTGTCTTCTCACACTGTCAAGGAGGCTGTTCACACCACAATGACATAGCGCGGTCTATCGTAGCACCCCCTTTTTTGTGGGCCACCCCCAAGAGGTGCTCCAGTGGCACGCCGTTTTGGATCGCGGTGGCTCGCTGTTGGGCGGCCAGAAACGACGTAGTACCTTCCAAACCGCAGAGATAGCACGGTCTAGCGCGCACTATCTCTGCTGGTGTGAACAGCCTCTATTTCTGCCTTTGTTCCATGTCTTATATCTCTCTTTTTTTTTAGCAGATGTTTCTGCATTTATTGATAAATTAAATATTAAACATTCAAATGACAATAATAGTATATAATATAATTGATTTACATAAAGAGTGACAACTTAAATACACACAAATAAAAATGCATAATTGAAAGTATCGAGGTAATCAAAAATAATCAAGAAAAATGCAGAGGCAAACTATCATAAGCAAGAATCCTTACCTCCTAAGTTTCCAAATTTTTTTCTTTCCCATTTGATTGGGAAGGCACATATCTCCCTTGCCTTCTTAAAGTAGCTTATCTACTGCCTGACATGTGTAAGCAAATCAAATGTCACTGAAAATCTCTACAATGTCTCAAAATACTAATTTTATTTTAAATATTCACACACTTCTTAGCCTTGCTTCTCTCCATATTTTAGTTTCTTCAGTGTCCGTGATCTCTTTAAAGCTACTATCCCCCAAAAAGTAGTTGAACAAATGCACATCTAATAAAAGAGTTGTGTTATTGAGCATATACCTTAGATTTAGGATTCGAAGACCTGTGTTCAGCTTGAGTGCTCTCATGAGCGCAATGCATCCTGGGACTGACATGCCATTGTTTGAAAGGTCGAGAACCTCAAGAATAGTGTTGACCTGCAAAAAGCATTAAAGCAGGTGGATGAATACAGAAAGTAGATGTAATAGAAGAAAAAAAAAATCTATTTTGATTGGTATTTAAGACAAAAAGTATAAAATTGCACTTTTCTGCCTGTATCATATATACATATACATGGGTACATCGAAAGTTAGGCTGCTCTTCGTTCTGAGACATTTATGGTCCTGATAGTGGGGTTGTCATAAAGCAATAATTCAAAATAAACATATTTACCTTGAGTGCATTAGCCAGTGCTGCAATGCCCTTGTTCCTTACAGCATTCCATCTCAGATCTAGGTAATTTAATCCATCATTCACTGCCTGCCAAGAAAATGAAATATGAATATAGGCCAATGACAACAGCCCAAACACCAGTTTGAAAATCATCAATTTGGGGGACTACAATTTACCACTCGACGGTGAAACTTTGATTTTGATTTGTCAACGTGTTTACCAGCGAAACACAGGAATGTGAGAAAAATCAATGATTTTTGGTTGCAGTGTAAATGCCGCTTATCTAAAACCAAATATGCTTCATCTTACATAATGCAGTAAATATCTTTTTGACGAAGACTATCAATTACACAGAAAATTATGGTAAAAACAAATATGATTCAGTGGGGTAGATCAACAATGAAAATAATGAATGAAAACAAAACAATGCACCTATTGGGTTAATGTTAAAAAGCAGGAAGTAACAATCAAATTACCTCCCACAAATTCATTATTTGGGTATATGCAATGTTATTTTTAATCATGCACTATGGGTTAACTGACATCGCTTAATGATAAATTTACAGGCTGTAACCCCCATATATATATACTAAAAGATATCAAATTAATGTGAGCATCAGTAGATCTAACTTACCAGTCCTGATCCCAGATGTACCCCAGCCATCTCTCCTAGTTCATTATAACTCAAGTCAAGCTCTGTAAGTGTGGCGTTGTTCCTCAGTGCCTCTGCTAAGGGGATGGCATCCTTATCAGTCAGGTGATTTGCTGATAGGATCGATGAAGCAGTAAGATAGAAAAAGAAAATTCTTGTAAACAATAACCTGATCCAGACTCAGGAATGGTGGAACAAGGTAAATATCATATGTATCAGACCTGAAAAATGATTCTAAACATACTATACAATACTCAAAACTATTTTAGCAATACCTCATGTATAAAATAAATTTTGAAAGTTTATTAGATTTAAAACTACAAATCAATGAGTATCGGCCTAATCCAAGATGGTTAAATTTTTATTTAGGCCAAGACCATGGTGTACATAGTGTTCTAACTACTGAGATGTCAATGAATACCGGTAGCTGTAAATAAAACCTTGCTCTAATCATCAGAAAATAACGGAAAGCATGCATGGAAGAGTAATATGAAAACCATACAGTAATAAAAATAATAATCATAATTTTTTATATAGCGTTTTTTCCATAAGCATGCATGTTCAAAAGCACTTTACAATTATGTTATGAACAGAAGATGAGAGTTTTTAGAACTTTTTTTGAAGGTATTGAGAGATTGCTGGTTGCCAAGAAATTTGGATAGGTTATAAATTCCATAATTTGGGAGCAGCAGTTGTGAATGCTGTCACCAAGTGTGGGCAGGATCTTTGGAGATGGATGCCTAGAGAGGAGCTAAAGGAATACCAAATAAAGTGTGTATGGTCCACCGTGAAGCCGGAGTAGACATGCTTTTATGTGTAAACACCAAATGATTGAAGGCTGAATGATAAGAGCTCACCTCGCAAACAAAGGGTCTTCAATGTGTAGTTGGATTCCAGCATGTTAGAGAAGGCGGTAATCCCTCTCCCTCGTATCAGGTTATGGGAAATGTCCTAGAAATCAAACATAATAAACACCCTCATTTACATAACCCATGGTTTAAAATAAGCGCAAAATAAGCGTGACACAAATCAGAGGCCCAATATTAGACACACGCATACCTGCCAACATTTGAAACTAAGAATTCGAAATTTTTAGCACGGTATACACTGTATGCCTTCGAAAATAAGAAATCGCACTTGCAGCGGCAGTGTAACTGGCAATACGTGGTAAATCTGTATCAAAAGGCGAATACAAATACGCTGCTCGATCATGCACAGCACATGATAAAACAAGCCTAAGCACACTAAAAAAAAAAATTGTTAATTTAAAAAAAAAAAATTCTTAATGTAAATGAGGGTTAGACCATGGGTTAAATCTAAACCTCCTTTGTGAATTTGGGCCAATAACCACTGCTTTATCAAAAGCTGGTAATGAGATGAAGTACATGACCTATTGCTAGAATCCTCATTCATATAGATGATCCAACAAAACTTCTCTGGGGTGCACTTGGCAAGGTATGCAATCCAGGTTTACTGTTTAGATTACATTACCCTAAAAGTGTTACATATTATTTTCAAGAGACCAAATTTGGCTTGAGTTTGTTCTTTCTATCCTATCTAGCACATCTCCACTTTGTCATCAATATCTTTCTACAGGTAACATATGAAATGAATTTAGAAATTGTCTAATAGTTTAATTGAACTTTTGGAATAATGTTTATCAAGGATTATAGTAAAATTATGGAAACAAGGACAAAATGAAATTGTATACTGTAAATATTGTTTTGAATGGTATTTGTTTGCACTGTATGCATCGATCACGTCTTTCATAATGTATAAAAACAAAGTGATATCCAGTGAATTAGCTATATACTCACAACTTTGGTGATATTGACATTATTTTCCAGCATAGTGGCAATAGCAATTCCACTGTCATCCAGTAAATGGTTATCACACAGATCTAGAGTCTCTATCATGGAATTATTCTGTGAAAGAAACCAACATTTACAAAATAAGAAAGAAGTTCATAGAAATATTCATGAACAGAAACATTGGATATAACCTTAATGATATCATTCATAATTTGGACCCCTTTGATATTTTTTATCTTGAAATTTATTACAAATGATGACAACCTCTTACTTTATTTGCACACACATCATATCAACACATAAAAACTATATATATTCACATTTTAAGCCTAAATAAACTACATTATTGGATCACTGCTGGATTGTATAGTGAGCAGTAGACTACAAGTTTACACCAAAATATCCTTAACATCATATTTCAATGTTTATAATCCATTCCATCATACCTTCATAGCTTTGGTGAGGGGGACAATGTTCTGTGCATCGAGGTATCTATGCCTCAGCTGGAAGGCTGGGTCTGTCAAATGTCTCAGAACATACGATGCCGGGTCAACACCTGTATTAAAGTCATCAAGTAAGTAAATATGGTCATCTTAGATCGTCGATCTGAGGTGAGAAAGGCGAGATATATATTGACCAGTTTTGTCACAAGAATAATTGCTCAGTCCAATCATGGTCCAATTAATATGTTCAGTATGCAATACATGTTTTCATAGAAACATGCTTATTCCTATACTTTTGTATTTTTTAATCTTTCTTTCATCAGGTGAGCACTACATTCATCTTTGTGATTTTGCTGTTACATCAATGAAATAGTGAGGAAAAAAATTAAAAATCTATTAAATAATCATCAAGATCTATATAATATATTTGATGTTTTCTATATACAAATTCACAAAGTTGCAGATGATTCAAAACCTGTAAACTTGATGAGATAATAAATCGTGCAGTGCTATATTTCTTATACTTGTATAAAACAATATAATTGCTAATTACCTTCTTCTTTGCACTTCTGCATGTACACTTGCCTGCCTGATGCATCACGTATAACTCGAGGTTCTGGTATATGTAAACATAACATACAATATACAAGGATGTTAAACTTTGGAATTAAACACACGAATGGTAACAACAATGAATAGAATGATGATATGATTGCTTGTAATTTAATCTCTGCATTTACATTTTTTTTTTAAATACAAAGTTCACTTCACATAGAATCTAAATCATCCTTCTATCTTTGAGTACATAGATGCCCTCTTCTCTTTCAATTCATTAAAACCTTACCACAAAAACACATTTGTGAAGTTATCCCAAATATTGAATAATGAAGTTGACTTACTCGGAGGGAAATATTCTTCCAGATCGGTATCATAGTCATCCTCATTGTCATCAACACTCATCATCTCTTTAGTAGGATCCTTTAAAACACGCTCCTCTATCTCGGCTGCTGTTTCTTCATCTTCAGTTGTTGCTGTGGTTACATCCTCTGGCATAAGATAAGTGAAATAAAAAATCATTACCACTAATGATCTGATAGAATATGATATCAAGTGTTAATTAACATAAATGTGTATGACATAAACTAGTTCTATGGATTATTTTGTAGAATAATCTTTAGATTCTTTACCAAGAGGAGGGTAAGACAGGGTAATGTCATATATGCATCATAAAGAGTATGTAATTTGTTTTACTTTTACAACTGTGGCAGACTACAGGATAGAAAGCTCCATTGACACAGAAGTTTTGAATAGTGGGTCATGAAATGGATGATCAAGCCAAATACAATACCGGTAGCCCTTTTGTACGGCTATAAAAGTTTGAAATATAGATATGGACTATAAGAATGTAAATGAATTAGATGAATTTCGCAAAAAGACATCACTTGAATGAGATGATTCAATGGTCTATGAAATATTAAATCAGCAAACGTACAGGCCTACATAACCCATGTATCAATTGGTATTATCATAATGCAATTGATGCAAGGATAGAAAATTACATCAATGTATATATTACCACCTTTTGCTAAATGCAGATCATAGAAACAAATAGGTATATCTATTATCATTTTGAACCTTAACACGTTGACTTCTGAATTCTCTCATTCTCTACAGTCTTAATACAGGAACCACCTGGTTCCAGCAGGCAATGGGTTAATGCAATTTTTGTCATTCTGACCTGGAGTCGTCAAATCCTCATCCCTGGTATCTGGGGTAGCAGGTAAACTCCTTTCGTCATCTTGCAGTTCAGTGATAGACCATGGGGTGCTCTGCCTCCTCTCATCTAGAATGGAATCACCCAAGCTGGATCTCCTGTTGTGTGGTAATATGTGATGGCCAGGAGCGCTCGATGCTCTCAGAGGGGAGCGGCTCTTTGAACTGGATGACGACCTCTTCGGACTGGGTGACCTCTTTCCACGTCTGCTTGGACTTTTGCTTGAGGACCTTTAAAGATGAAAATTATATGTTTATGATTTAACTGTAGTTTTGACATTTTCCAAGTATAAACTTTTAATTAAAACATAAATTTGATATAACAAAGATATATGTAGATAAATATAAGAATATTTATAAAAAATTTCATTTGATTTGATTTATTGGTTTCTGCATCTTTTTTTTCTTTCTTTTTCATCATACATTTTCATAAATGTAATATGGTTTGATACAATATTTCAAGTGTACATAATTTTATAAAGATAATATATACAAAATTAAACAAATACATTGAATGCATATTTAACATACATTAGATGAGGTGGGCAACTATTCATACAGCTCTGGATAAGACAAATTAATGAATTCTAGAGAAAACATACACTGTTCTGCATGACAAATATATACATAATATTGTATGACAAATAAAATTAAACAAAATAAAACACTTTTTTTGTTTACAAGACTGGAGTTGAACTGAACTGAACTTGGCCCTGTCTTATAAAGAGTTGATATCAATCGCAACGATGTACATAAGAGATATGAGACTGCAAGTTTGCGATTGATTGAAGGACTTACGATTGATTTGGAATGATCGTAACTCTTTATAAGACGGGGCCCTGAACTAATAACTATTTCAAAAGTCTGCTCTGTTTTGACTGAATATGATTCTATCTATCTCTACACGCACCTGCTTGGGGAAGCAGTCTTTGGTCTCCCACTTGACCTACGAAGTGTTGCCTGAGTAACATCGTGTCTGGGAGACTTCCTCCTCACAAAGAGAGCGTCAGCAGCATGATCACCCCTTTCATCTACCAGACTGATACCTCCAATGTTGAGCTGAGATGGAGAGAGAGTATCGCTGCGTGACGCCGGTGCTGTTTCCGTGGTAACGAGATGCTGAAGGAATCCATGAGGGCTACTTCTCTCCGGGGATGCTCCACGTTTCCGACTGGTGGTAGACTTTTTGTGTTTTTTGCTTTTCTGATTGTAGGAAATATAAATTCATACAAGGGTTTTTAAATTAAATGAATTTCCAAATAGCACATTTTGAAACAACCTTTCTTTATACAGTTTGTAAGAAGTGACATGCATTGTCATTTGTTTTTCACTCTATGTTTAACTTATGTATCCACTCTCCAATATATCTTCTTCTTTTTTAAAATAAATGAGTAATGATTTATTGTCGTGTTGGGATCGGAATTAAGATGAGTAGTCTTGAAATGAAGAGACTGAGACTTCTATTTACAGTTCAAAATAAAGATAAATTTATTTGACAGAGCTCAGCAACTCTCAATACAATTACATTGTGTAGAATCGAGATTACAAGTAGTATATGCTCGCCGGTTGATGGTTGAAATCCAAGTCCTCGTGATTGGAAAACTTTACAATCATGAAAGTTTGGGGGAATTAAACAATGTTGGATGGGTGACTTTAACATGCTTTTGATTGGTCTATGGTCAGGGTATGGTACATGTATTATGGGGAGTGGTAATGGAGAGTGTCAGTGATTTGGGTTGGGCCTATGAGTCATAGTTCTTGGAATGTGGTTCCTTGAAGTTAACTCTGGGGTGGTCATTTATGGTCAAATGTGTATAATAAAAAGATAATGGGGCCAGTACGTGTCTAGGAATAATGGGGTACTGTCTAGGCGGGTTAATGGGGTACTGTTTTAGATCATGGAAATGAATGACTGAAGGTAGATGGAGTAAAACAAGTATTACATAACATTATTATATGAACAGCATTCTTCACATTCCTTAATTGGTTTGGGGATAAAAGTATAAAATAGCAGTTTGAATTGCATGTGTAGCGATAACAAGGATATCAACAGAAATTGAGTAATGTTTTTAAATAAATCTAAGTCACATTATGGGCTAAAATATTAGCACACATAAAAATTTTAAAAGAAATGTTGATTTGTCTTCAAGTAAACATACAGTAATTAATGTATATATAAATGATTATATTTGTTTCCCCTTATAGATGATGAATCAGATGAACTTCGGGAGTTTTTTTTGTTTTTTGTTGTTATTAGATTAGGCCGATTTAGATATAAATATCAATACCAACAGTAACTAAGTACTACAAACATATTCATATAATCAACCAAGTATTTTGTCTTAAATTTCTTAATAATTTTTACATGTAGTTGAATGCTGTTCCCAAGTAATATACTGCTATAATTATAGGCAGCAACCATTTAAAAATACATAATTACTATATCAAATAATCTCCTAGTAATAGTATCCACCAACACAGAAACGTATCATATCCCCAGATTTCACTGACGTGTAAAGAGAGGTAAAGTAGTCCCTTTTCTTAACTGTACACTCATTAAACACTTGAGAGAAAAGATGGGCACTTTGAATGGCCAGTCAATATTTGCATAGCGTGTGGACAGTGCAAACACTAAATCTCTGTTGCTTTGTATAGTTTGTATTGACAGTACAGAGGCCCAACTTTAAAAAAAACCTCATCATGTTATACAAAGAGTGACCATATTTTATTATTTCTTTCTTTCTTTCTTTTTCTTTTTGTTGGTGGGGGGTCGGGAACATGACCAATTATATTTTTTGAACATTCAAAGAAGGATTTCCTCCCAAACAAAATATTCAAGAATTGACTACATTTATTGAAAATGTTATCCTGCAGTCAGATCTATTTAAAATATCTTTGCATGTTTCAAAATGTAATTTAATTGCAGTAGATATATCGAGACATCACAGACACACTACAAGAATTGAAGAAAAGGTTGGATATCATTACATATGATGTTATAAGTTCCATTAATTGTGAACGAATTGTATAAATTGAGTAGTCTCGACCTCAAGTCAAAGAACTGCCATATAATGTTTATATGGGCCGACGTACAGACTGACAGTAACATTAATAATGGTGTTACAATGTAGAGCAAATGCATATTATGTGGAAAGTCATTTAATAAGACCATCCATAAGTCATCATAACCAATACATCTTTCCTGTAGTTGATATAATTCAGAGAAGTGATTTTTGACCTTTTGTTGGTTGAAAGTATTAAAGACATTTTAAAAGTACCCCCCCCCCCCCCCCCTCCTCAGAAAAAATGCCATCATCAACTGTCAACACTTGTCATGGGCTAGGGCACAAACTTGTTCATTAATTATTTATCTTTTTAAAATAAAAAATCTCTGAATAAACCCAATGTCCGGAGAGTTTGTATATCCAAACAATTTATCTTAAATAGCAATTTTCATAAATTTGTTAAGATTTATATTGGGCAATATCAATTACAAACGATTCATGATAATGATTGGTGAATTGGTGCTATTTCAGTATTTTGATGAATATTTTTTTCATGAAATCCAAAGCAAAGGCAACTAAAACTTAGTGAAAAGCCAAAAGAGAAGAATTAAGTTTACGTTTGTAAGCATGGTAAGTGTCCAGACACCCAACCCTCCAACATACAGGGTTATTCAAAGGTGTCATCATATTGGTACCAAGATTTAAAACTTACCACTTTGTTAATAATATCATATTCATTATTGCTTCGTCGTATACCAGCGGTGCCCACGCCCGTGGTCGTGGAGGCAGAAGCCGTAAGCCACCTAGGCCTCACGACCGCCCCGGTAGAGCGGGTGGACTCTCCGTGGTTATGCCTACAGGCGTGACGTCTGGCTGGTTTTGAATCGGACATTATTGATTGGTTTTGAAATGCGGTAGCACGTCCATCTAACCATAAATCATGGGCCGATTTCCCTTAAACATTGTTGAGCGTTCGAAAGTATTCCAAACTCTCTGAACTGAGGGTAAACTGTTCTAAATTTGACAAACTTCACAGCTCAGCATACATGATCGGCATTCCTGGTGGTGGTCGCCAGCGCAGCTATGACCGTCGCGGTTGCTGGGAACGCTCAATCAGCTGTTTAGGAAAACTTTTCCGAACTTTCTACTTTTGTGAATAGCGCCAACTCTTATCCACGTCGAATCGGCGCAAATAAATGTCCCCGATTAATTGATTAATTGATTTTTATTCGCCAAGCTTCCAACATACAACAAAATGCAAGAATAACATATCAGTTGAACAGGATAATCCACGAAAGCTCGAGAGCTTATTTCCAGTGGGGTACCAGACATAAATGTACAAAATAAATAAATTAAAATAGTAATATTTACAGCCAGAAAAAAAAACTTATTAAAGATCATAATGATGATATGGAAAAAAAACATCATTAAACTGATGATAGAAGTGATCATGCGCGTGTACATGGGGGGGGGGGGGGGTTGGGGGTTAAACCCCCCCCCCCCTTTGTTAATTTTTTGTGTGTAAACCCCCCCTAAATTTCTCTAAACCCCCCCCCCCCTTTTGGATTTTTTTTTTTTTTTGTCAAATGTCAAATTTTCAAATTTCGAGACCCCCCCCCCCAAAAAAAAATGTGTCCTCTTACCCCCCCCCCCCCCCCCGCGCTTATTCAGCGGCTGGCTGAGTCGTTGCGAAATTTTCGGCCCGATTTATAAATGTTAAACCCCCCCCCCCCCCTTGAAAAAATCCTGCGTACGCGCCTGGAAGTGATAATACGTACAAGAAGAAAAAGAAGAAGGAGAAGGAGAAAAAGAGGAGGAGGAAGAGGAGGAAGAAGAGGAAAATAATGATTTATTCTTCTGCAAACTGCATGTCAATTAATTATTCAATTATCTTATCCTAAATGATGCCGATACTAAAAACAGATAAAGAATCTTATTTAATTTCTTTTCCAGTTTGAATCCCTCCAATATTATCATTTAAGGGGCGATGCTCGATTGAGTGTTTGGGAGGGGGGGCACATGACTTGGGTGAAACCAATACTTAGTGAGAAAGACACAGGTCAAACAAATCTCTGACAAGCATACTATAATAATGTTTCACAAAATAATGTAACTTAATTTTTCTCTATAATCTCTGATGAGCAAAGAAGTCCGCGGGAGGCATCGGACAATTAAAAAAATCGTTCGAGACGAGCGACCTGCACCTGAAAAAGTAGACAAAGTTGCAGTCAAGACATATCTACTGTATCGTTCTTTTTTTCTTTCGTCTTTGACTTTTTTTGAGAGACAGAAATATGACTTCTGTCTGGTCTATAATCTAAATACCAATTGCTTAAAATATGAAGAATACGTGTCATGAAATTTTAAGAAAACAGGAGATATTCTCGGTTGAGCCTGATTCTATTAATTTTGCAATGGTACAGGCGTGCCGGGTGATAAAAAATGTTATGAACCTTTCAAATTACAAAATATGAAATATATTGATGTATTTACTTTACCTTCCTGTAGATCGGTTCCATCATATTTTTGTTGACCCATATTAGATGCTTCCCGGTCGAAGGCTCTACAGCAGTATCCAATGAAGAATTCATCGCACAAGATATTTTTAAATACTTGTTCTATGACTGTAAAAATATACCGTTTAAGAATGAAGTTCCATCAAACTTGTACTGAGATAAGATCGAGAGCTAGTAGACGTCTATTTCGCAAGATACAGATGTGTCACTTGTTAATCCTTAGACGTCAATCGTGATTGAAGTGTAACTCAGAATAGAGATGTTGGCTGGCATCGCATGAATTTTTAAAACGATATTCGGAAACTGCCATCAATTCGTGCAGAGAGGAGAGGAGCAGATGGGAGGGGCGAGACAGAGATGGCGGGAAATTCATTGACTGGGAGTAGAGAAGAGGTTTGTACGTACGGTGGATGCAGATGAGATCATAAGAGAGAGAGAGAGAGAGAGAGAGAGAGAGAGAGAGAGAGAGAGAGAGAGAGCCTGAGTGAGAGAGGGAGAGAGAAATGGAGAGAGAAAGAGAAGAGAGATAGAAGAGAGAGAGAGAGAGAGAGAGAGAGAGAGAGAGAGAGAGAGAGAGAGAGAGAGAGAAGGAGGGGACTCAGACGAAAGATATAGAGTGCGTGAAAGAGGCATAGAGGATGCGATAGAGAGGAGATAGAGAGATTATAATAGAGACAATATTTGAAAGGGCAGAGAGAGAAAGAGAGAAAGAGAGAGAGAGAGAGAGATAGGAGAGATAGGAGAGAAGAGAGGGAAGGAGGGGACTCGGAGAGAACACAGATAGAGCGCGTGAAGAGAAAGAGGGGGCAGGAGGATAGAGAGGAGATAGAGATAGAGAGATCGTAACTGAACAATATAATTATGAAGAGCAGATAGAGAGAGATAGAAGGGAAGAGATGTAAGGAGGGGACTCAGATAGAAGAGAGAGAGAGAGAGAGAGAGAGAGAGGGGGAGAGAGAGATAGGAGAGAAGAGAGGGAAGGCGGGGACTCAGATAGAAGAGAGTGTGGAAGAGAAAGAGGGGGCAAGAGAATGCGATAGAGAGGAGAGAGAGAGAGAGATCGTATACAGAGACAAGATAGGAAAGGGCAGTGAGAAAGAGAGAGAGAGAGAGAGAGAAAGGGGAGGGGAGGGAGAGAGAGTGAGAGGATGAAGAAAGAGAAGAAGACCGCCAGTTTCTATGACGATCTGCTTTGTTTATATTTTTGCAGGTGGTGGTAAGTTGGTTGACTAATCTATAACCTTCGCAACTGAACTTGTGAGAAGGTGTACGTAGCTTACAAACACATCGTTATTGGAAGATTATTTATGAGCCGTGTTTTAGAACCCTCATATTCAATAGCAGGAGACGTCCTAATGATAATGAGCTGTCTGGAATTAAATTTATTCATTCTATTTCCGTTTCCTCACTTTGCTTCTCTGTCCTTTCCAATTTTGCTTCAAAACTTTCATCCTAACCTTTTTCTTTCTCTTGTTTCATTACTTATCATTCTCCTATATTGATTGTTTCCATTGACCATTTAATCAATCCAATTTACTGGTTAATATTGGTTTTACTGATATCTTATTTTGAGAATAACAAATTAACTCTTCATTTCATACTGCTGTATATCATTCACACAGTAAACTCGAATATGGTGCAATTAACTTTCAAACTAACTCGAAAACTCGAGTTCGTGAGTACGTTGCCATAATGACATTGTACATCAAGAAGGAAATAATTTGGAAGGCGCAAACAGGAAGTATGAAGAAACAAAGAAAGAAAAACTAAGAATGCAACTTTTGTAGCGAATGCGGAGAGGACGGAGAAGCAAATGAGAAAACGGAAATAAGTATGAATAAAATTAATTCAAGATATTTCATAATATACCTCTACCGATTATTGAATTTGAGAGAACAAAATCAAGTGATGCGTCCTATTACACCTGCCTCTGTTACTGTTCGTCTCCAACCGTCTTGCTGTGAGTTATAGACTCTTTGTCAACTCGTCTCGAGGCTCTGCAAAGAAGCAGGTGTGATCGAACTGGGTTGCCTGGTGATCGGAGGAACCTCAAGGCGACGCTTGATGTCGTCTGCTCAAAGGCATCATCATAGAGAGCCGGAATATCACCTGTTTGGCGAGCTTTCTTTTAAGATTGATACTTAGGTAGTCTTGCATTACAAGACGGCTACCACCCTTAGTATATTCTTCATGATTTCTTTTGCCTTATTGGTCGGTAGAAATAGAGAAAATGGATTTAATTTATCTTTCTCTTCAGCTGGAATTTGAAACTTTTAACAGAAGGAAAATTCAATTGCAAACGATGAGGAATCGTAAAACAAATATAAACACACATTTTGTCTTCATTATGTTGATGATTTGTTTGATTTTCTTTGTAATTCAGTGTTCTACATCCCCAGACAGGAATATTATGAACAAAGCATGGCAATTGCGTTCATAAGCGGTCCATGCTTTAGAATAATGATACCCCCTTGCAACATTTGGGAAAGATTGATAATTTTCAACCATTTTGGGCTTGTCCGACATTTTTCAAAACAGGCATGGACTTGGCACCTGTATTTTGTTTTTGTTGCTCTTTTCTATTTATCTACATTGATATTGTATTTTACTCAAAAATCACAAATGCTGAAAATAATATATGTTACACATGTGATCACCACAATGACAAATAACAAATTAAACACAATCAACAACAATTTCAAATATGGTTGCAAGTCAAGTTTCATATATTTCGAATATATCATTTTTTTTCACGTCCACATTTCAAAACAGCTTGTGTTTGCAGTAATGCTCATAAATTTTTACAATAAATGTCTTCAGTCATGTTATTAAAATACTGCAATTATTTTGTTTTCACTACATATTCATATATTATCTGCATGAGCCAGTGCCACTGTCCCAGAAAAAACCCACATTAACATTTAATGGAAGCATCTGTGACAATGCAGCCTTTTACATAGGTTACCATCACAAACATACATGTATAGTTAAAAAAATAATAACAATTAAATTAACCCTAACCAATAATTGAAAGATTACTCAGCATTACAAGCAATCATGGCATAGCCATGGAAATATAAAACAAAACCCACATATCCGTTGCAACAGTAGTTACAGATACTTGAAATGTATTCTACTCATCAGATTGAAATGTCAATAGATTTATCCTAAAATTGAGAGGGATGGATCATCTACTGCTCCCTCAAAAAGTTGAAAACTAAAGGTAAATTGTAAATAGTAAGTGCCATAGAGAATGAGGATAATTCTTGCTGAAGCGAAGGTGCAATACATCTAGATCCCTCAAAATAAAAATTAGTGAGGGGGGGGGGGGGGCAATTGATATTTTCCCCAGCACACATACAGTGGGCAATTTCAGTCTTTTATTTACAATTGGTATATAAAAAAGAGCACCTTGACAGGTTTTGACTTTATTTAATAATGTATCGGTGAGGAAAACTATTAAAATGGGAAGGTTAATTTAGAAACTTCAAGAAATGCAGAGCTTTGAAGAAGAAAAATTAATGTAACTTTTATTCATTACAGAGAATGATAAAACTACAGGTAACAATTTAAAAATATATATTGCACCTGTCAATATAGTTTTCTCAGTCCCTTAATTGCCTTCGTATTCGAGGTTAAGACCGAATGTGTGCCTGCCACTTTATATGACGGCTTGTTATTTTGACAGACACTTTTTTTTTAAATTTACCACTGTTATCCGAAAAGAATAATTCATTCAACACTCTACTAATTTCATGCTTACACATCAAATAAGGTTTAATATTTATTTGATGAACAAATTCTAAAATAAAATCCTGCAAGCCACTGAAAGACACAATCTACAAAAAAAAAATCCATTACACCCCCCCCCCCTCCCAAAGAGACAACCTTTTTTGTATTCCCCATAAAGTAATTGCACAAAACAACTAAAGCTCATGAAAGGGCATTTTGACATCATTTTTTTTTTCTGTGGGGGGGGGGGGGCATGTACTTAAATGTCCTCTGAAATGAAACATTTAATTATCAATGCTAATTGGCAACAGTCGATAATGAAAAACAAAACACAAAATAAACATTCAAAACTTTACATATTTGACAACAAAAAAGAAAGAAAAAGAAGGGACAATAACAAAAAAAATCCAGTTAAGCACTTTGCATCTACCGGTACATGTATTTATACCTATGATATTATACATGCTCTATATGAAACAAAAATGTGTTTACCTAGTCAAAGTATCATATTATGAATGAATATTTCAATTCTCATATTTACATCATCATGGCCCCTTCAAATAAGATACACATCATTGAAATATATATCACTATTATACACCTTCAAAACCTATACCCAACTTTAACATTATCACTACCATTGCACTTGAGTGCATGATACAATATAGCATACAAGCACAATGCACAAATATCAGATTAATAAATTTACTTTAAAATTTGGTTACCGGTATCCCATAATTACAGAGTTATCATTTACATTATCAATTTTTACTGGCAATTAAATAGAGATGTCATAATGTAATATCAATCTCTAATGCGGCATTCACTTTGCTTTGTGTAATGAAATACTTGCAACAAAAATACAAAAAAATACTCTTGAATGTATACATGTTATTCGCAAAAGGTGAATTATAGAAAATATTAAGTTAACCGACAATGAAATGCCAAACTTGAAGTAAAATTAGATATCGCTATATGCCATTTGATATGCACAGCAAATGTTTGTTGTATAAGTCTGCTTGGTTTAGTGGGTTAACAGGGTACATGACTGGGCACTCCATATCTAGTAGTCATACATCTATCTAAGAGGCTGTTCACACCGCCATGAGATAGCGCGGTCTATCGTAGCACCCCCTTTTTTCTAGTGCGTGCTAGACCGCGGTATCTCTCGTGGACCACACTCGTGGATACAACGACGTTGTACCTCCCACACCGCAGAGATAGCGCGGTCTAGCGCGCGCTATCTCTGCTGGTGTGAACAGCCTCTAAGGTACTCATTTCCAATACTTCTTAGATCATATAACACAAGAAGTATACAGAAGGGACCACTTATAAATAAATAGGAGAATCAAACATTGGTTATACAATTTAGAATTGAACTAAAGGGAATTGCATAGCAAAATTTGGAATAGGAAAAAACGAAACAAATACATAAAGAACCATTACACCATGCATAAACACATGGACATATAAAATAATATATATTTCTGTTAATTGGAGTATTACACAGCAGTACTATCATATGAAGTACTTAGTATTTCAACATTTACAATTCAAATAAATGTATAAGAAATACAATGAGGGTTAGAGAGCAATAGGATGTTCACTATGAGAGTGTAGTTGCATGATGGAAAAAAATTATATGATATAGATAATCTTCTTTCATCATTTGAAACTGCAAACAATATCACAAAATGATAAGGATAAAGAAAAACCTTTTTTAATATAGCCAAACCATATACACTAAAAGGGCAAGGCAAGCAACTGCAGTCTCTACTTGACCACATATGCATTTCTGAAGTATAAAATAAATATTACATAAAACTTTGTAGTCCACATTGGAGAAATTCATTTGTAGTCAACAAAATGCTGCTATGATTCACTGGCATGACTTCAGATTCAAGCAACATGAAAGGAAACAATTTTTTTTTAACTATCAACTATGCAGGTTAATATCTATTTGAATTATCCTCAAAATTATTGTTTGGGATAATAAAGTGGCTTATTTGGATGACTTTAGAGGATGACTTTCATACTCCGGCAATCTGTTTCCACTAAATGAACCTAAGTTGACTCAACTACACCATATTGCCTAAATTTAGCAAAATAACAGTCTTACAACAGATTTTACATTTCATTTTTGCATGTCTAAAGATAGAGCGATTACTCATGCACTGTGACTGAAACCCAATTTTCTCAAATGTTAGCAAAATGCCCAAAATGGGACCAAAATAATTAGTTTCTGTTGTCATAATATCACATATCAGCCCAAACCGAACGATGTGAGGTTTTAAGTTTAAACATATCGCCACGTTTAGGGGACAGGGGTGTGAGCATTGTTCTGCATCATGGAAGAGTAAGCTTGGGAAGTGCCATTACCAAGTGTATTTCACATGTCGTGTATTCAACAACACTCACAAATAATAAATCTCATGGCCAATATCATTAGTGATACATGCTCAGATGTATCAAATATACCGACAGAGCAACCATAAATGAGTTCCCGAACTAGTATGAAGTAGATAGAACTATACACCAACTGTTATTCTTAATACCCTACTGCCTTTATCTCATGAAAATTTACAAAGGATCAACCTTTCCTGACCAAATCTTCACTATAGTATATGTATATAACACACTTGAGATTGACATGTCACAAAAAAACACTCTGAAGTAACAGAAGTTTGTGAAATACTTTGTACTGACTCGGTATGAATATACAGTTAGCATGAGATCAAGGTCGGTGAAAACATAAATAAAAGTAGAATATTTGAAAATTCACATATTTGTTCAATAATCATTTCTCAGTTTCTACATAATTTGTATTGATAGGGCTACATGAGTGGTTGCGTCGTCTTTGTGGGTGAGGTTTATCTACCACAGGTGTGTTTCTCTGATCTCACTGATGATTTGACCCGCCTTCTGAAGAGCCTGCGGAGAGAAATGAATAAAGATGGTTGCAAAATAAGAGTCACACGCTCACTATGAAACACAGTAGATTTTCATAAAAAGTAGAAAATAAATGAACTTTTTTAGACACTGTATCGACTATGTATGTGTATGTGTAAATGTTCCTTAACCCCAAAGAGACCAGCTTTTTTTGTGGTTTCTCAGTCAAGGAGGGGTGGATTAAATTTACAAGTTTGTACATCAAGGAAAAAATATTGGAGAGGGTACAAGCAAGAGAGCAGTAAGAGGAGTATACTAAGTTGGCAGAAGTTGGCTTAACTTATCAACATGTGAAGTTTCTTTTTTCTGAAAGAAACACAACATGGAGACAGAGTCCTTACTTGTAACATTTCTTGAGCATCTTTCCTTCGCTGTGCCATATGTTCCGATTCATTGAGCAACGTATCGATCTCTTTCTGGCGATACAGCTGTCCTACCAGCTCACTCTGAAGGTTGTCTTGCACATGGTTCACCAAGAAATGCATGATGGACTTGGGGACGCTGTCCTGGATGTTCTTACGCACAATCAGGAAGTAACTCTGGATCAATCGCTCTGAAATAAAATATCAGAAAGAGGACGATAAATCATTCATCTTCCTATGTATGTTCAACCAAGACTTATGTCAGAACTTAAAAGAACAGGATGAAATGTTTACAAATGCTATGATGATTATTGCATATCCACATTCTGGCCACAGACCGATTTACATTTGTAATATAATTTTGAACCCTGACATAATTTTTGGTTCGAATCAAATAGCAATGTAATTTGTTTACACCATTTCCATTTTACTTCCTTTATCAATATCTATCAACTATTGGATGTAATGTTCAAAGTAACATGCGATTCCACTTCCAGGATTCCATGTGCTATTTTAATTATAACTTTAAAAGTACATAAACCATTTAGATAAAATCCATCCTATCTCTGAAAGAAGTTTTGGTTACTTCTGAGATACTTCTTTTTCTTCAAGTTTCAAAGAAGAAAAAAGGACCTTGTTCTTATCCTCTACATTTCGAGCTAAATATCTATTCATCTCGGCATGGTCATACTCATACTCATTTATGTACAAGGATATATAGACTAATGGATAGACATAGAAAATTCAACTCATGGTTCTTGCACTTGTGATGGCTTAAAAGCAAAACAAAGTGCAATGTGACGATGAGATATTCCATATTTTCATTAATTCATATTTGTTTAATTATTCCAGGATATGCAGGTACGATGGTCTTGCCTTCTTATTTTTTCTGCAGAAGAAAAAGGGAGTACTGCTTATACATCTACCACTTACTTATAACATCCACATCCCTCTGTTCCCTTGAAGAAAGTTTCCTAGAAACTGGTACATCAGGCTGAAGGATACATAAATAAACAAACAGAAAACATGTCAAGCATATCTTAAACATCAAAATACATATAATTTCAGATGACACTAGTAACTTTTTTTTTCCTCTGGCAAAAATATTCAATATGATAAATGTAAAATTGCTATAAAAATGTAGGGTAGCTTCTGTTCAGCTGTGAAAGTTCCTGTTCTTCATATATTAATGTGCTTGAATGTTATTACAAATCTCAAACACAAAGAATAGCAAATCCAACGACCAATGCCAAAGTGCAGACTCTATGGAAAGAAGTGTCCTTCTCTATTATTGAACTAATTACATTAACCACTTGTATTGATTGCTGGACCACAAGCCAAGTAATTCCAAGAGCTAGTCATCCGTTTGTAGAGCAAGGCTATGGCTACAACAGCTAACATGTATCAATGGCCTCTTGCCAAAGGATTGAGTACTGTCACTAAAGACTAAACTTTACAGTAATATTACAGTTTCCTCCAAAAATACTAATACTAAATACTTGATTATGTGGTACAACTTCATTTCCTCTTACACCAACACTACAAAATAAATACACAAAGGATCTGGTTCATGAAAAGGTCACATATATATCTAAATGGGAATCTATTTCATGATGAAAGATCTCAAACTTATACAACACCCTCCCGTTTGAAGCCATCTTCACAAGACAACTAAAACTGATGGAACCAGATATGGTAGCATTACTGCCTCCAAAACTTCTGCTGAACTGTGGAACAAACTACCTTTAAATGTCAAAAACTGTCAAACTATTAACAAATTCAAAACTTGTCTTAAGACACATTTATTCAAAATTGCTTGTGATGATTAACTTGCCCTGTTCACATTGATGCATATGTCATATGTATTGTAATTTGTAGGTTTATTTGCACCATTTTGTTTTGTTTAATATGTAATTTGTTATCAGTCTATTTTTTGTGTTATATCGCTTAGAGACTTCGGTGGTAAGTGCTTTTTAAGCAATGTTTTTATTATTATTATTATTATTATGCATTCCAGCATAAATCAGGTCGAATTCTGGTACATACCACCCTGCCCCAACTAGTATGATGAAGTTACTCACGACATCAGGTAGCAGGTTGATGCCTGGTCTCTTCCGTTCCACTTTAGGACTGCTCATCTGTGGTGGGGTACTGGTAGCAGACAGGTTATCTGAGCTGGCAGACTTCAGGTTAGGTGCACTTCCTCTCACCCATGAAGGAACCCATGAACTCTCCTTACCATCCAACCTAGGGGGAGCCCCGTCTAGCGGTGTGGTTTGAGGTGTCTGTAACTGTGCAAATTAAGAATAGCTCAAATTGGCGACAACACTAAATATAGTTCCAAAAGTAGCGACGAAAGACAACTTGGATATTATTCAATCCAACAATGAATACAAAAAATTGACCTGATTTATGCTTGAAATAAATAAATTTGATAATCTGGAAAAAACAAATTTGAAATGCATGTACATCATTTAACTATCCTGCAAAAAAAATATTAATTGATTCACCAATATATCAACAGGTGAGTCATTGAAGTAATCCTTAACACAGAATATGTATAAGATGCAACTGGAGATGAAATGTAAAGGGAATACAATGGATCATCTTTGTTCAGTTAAAATCAAATGTTGCGTGTAATTTTTGTAACTTCCCTATTATTGCAGCAAGAGATAAAAGTGACTACCATGGCTGAATTCTCAGCACAAACTTGTACTTAAGATTACAGAAAGTTGACTTGAGCCTATCGAATAAAGAAAACGAGGAAGAGAGTGAAATACAAGTGAAAGATAGCGGGAAAGAATTACTTTTGGCTGCTTGTCGTTCTTCTCTCTATTCTCAGGTACCGATTCTGCAAGTCTTGTAGATTTCCTGCTGTTCTCTCTATCGTTCTGCTCTACAAGTACATTGACCAGACTAGCATCAGCAAAGTCAGGATGCTTGGTGTTGATGTACGCCAGCTCTATGCCAACAATGTTTTCAACCTGCATGCATTCACAGAAGAGAATGGGTAAATGATGTAACAATGAAACTGTTTCTGAGTGTTTCCATATTGTTCCTTATATCACTGTTATGCAAACAGTTTGCAAATGATTGATTCTTGTTTCTTCAACAAATATTCTATAGATACTGCTTATAAGAGCCCCCCCCCCCTCTCCTACCGATGCTATAGTTCTCTTTAGAACTATAAGCTCAAGAAAGATTACCAACAGCCCTTCTCAGGAATACACACACTCAAGAAAGAAAGATTACCATGAAGTTGTATAGAATATTTTTAACATTATATGATGGTGACAGTTTGCCAAAGTAGTGCACAATATACTAGAACATCACTTAATTCATAACAACAATTGAAGTTAAAAAACAATTACTTCGGGACCATTCCAAAACACAGACCTCTCTGTAGTGTTTTCTACATTTTCACAAACTATTTCATACCATGGCATTTGTGGCTGGTAGTCTCTTCCTGAGCAGTGTGGTTACAACTTCTACAATGCGATCATGGAGCCTTGGGAATCGTAAGAGATCTTGCGTTCCACAGTGTGCTATGATACGCTGCATCTCTTCATGTACCAGCTCGATGCAACGCATGCTGGGTTCCTCTAGTCGTCTGATCTGCCTCTTCGACAGCAGCTCAAAAGATACTTCAGGAACAAATAGAGCTGGTCTAGGACCCTGTAAAAGTTCAGAACAAAATCATTAGAAATAGTCAGATATGAAAAACCAGCAACATTGAGGTTTCTGGTTTCTGCATGACACAGTTTACTTCAATATAACTCTAGCACTATGGCATTTAATCTAATTGATAGGTAACTTATCATATACATATCCGTCACTTACTGATTTTTAGATTAAAAGGCAGTGTTCTCAATCTTTCCATTGCATGATGTTTTTTTGTAAAAAATGTGAAATAAAGGTAGGTTTTATTCATAATGTCACCTTTTTATGTATATCGTAAAGTGTATATGTTATTCTCAGCAACCAAGTCATTTGACTGCTAACGTGAATGTTTATGAGCTGTTGTCGTCCTTTTTTCAAAGAATTCACTCAATTCAACTTCTGTATATTAATTGAAAGGGCAAGATAAATGAGACACCGTTTTATTTAGTACATAACTATTTGATTCATCAGTTCAAACAGGAATGATATGTCTCTATACACTTACCGTAGCATTGCGAATGGCAGTTAAGATGTCTATCGTTCTAAGTCCTCCGAGTGGATCTATACTGTCTAACGTCCTTCCAAATGTCTCGTGGAAAATGTAGCAGATTCTTGCTCCTCCGCATCTAATTAGAGACAAGACAACAACAACAACAACAAAATCCATTATAAGTTTAGTCATAATTTTGTCTACCTCACTCTAAAATTCAACCAAATTCTACATTGCAACTTAAGTGTTAGGATAATGGTAGAAATAATTATCATGATATAACCAGGAAATCTTAAGATTTTAAACGCTATAAAAACAAAAATTACACTGTTTTCATGGAGTATGTATGGAATGGTTAAAGTTTTTTTTTTTTTTTTTTTAATTATTAAACAAAAGAAAGAAATAATCATTTGAAATCATTAAAGCCTATCTGCACTAGTTTAACCAGGAGGGATTAGACCTCTCTGCTAGTCACTTAGCAGGTGGTTATCTCACCAAATCAGCTCTCAATTAAATTAAGAAATAGGGGACTATGGGGGATCAACAGGTACCGCTTTATAGGCATTATTGGCTACATAGCGGGCGCAAATAGCTACAATTAGTGCAGTCCTGCTTTAAAATATGATGGAAGAGATGGTTGAAGTATTGTTTTTTAGCATACAATCATCGTAACCTACATACAGAGGGAGAGGCAAAGAGAATGACTTACAGTTCTGATGTCTCAATGTTCCTTGAGGTTCCCTCGATGGTTGCGCAGTATTCCGAAGCAAACTTGGTGATGATCTGGAGCAGGGTCTGACTCTTGTCTTCCACTGGTTCACCAAAAGAAGCCATGAGCTGCTGGAACTGTGAGGTCATCACGTTGACCCTGGTCTTCAACTCAGGTAGACAGTCTCTGATATGGTGCATCAGTAGCTACAGGGAAAGATGCATTTGTATTTAGAAACATCCTTGGTGTCAACAATTTATGAAAGGATAATATGATATTGTATATGCTTGATGACTTCAAATATCTCTAAATTTTGCTTCCTGCAGCAAAGATATCAAAATCATATCACCACAATCAGAAGTCATTACAGGTTCATCCTTGTCAACAATATCATCGCAATGACAGACATTCTCTCCACATTACATAATAGCTGAATCTTGTTAGTGTCCATTAAAATCTTATATTTGAGATACATACCCTGTTGAGTGTTCTGGCTAGGTAAGCAGTACCGTTTCTGCTGGCAAGAGCTGGATATTTCCGCTGTAGAAAAGCTGATTCATCCTTCACAGCATCATCAATGACCTGGTTATCAAACAATCATGAGATGATGCTCAAAATGTGATTGAAAAGATTTTTCAAGACTTACTTATGGAAAGTTACAACAAATATGTTTATCATTTAATGAAAATAATTTTAATTTTAATTTTAATGACCTACTAATAAATGAGATTTCGATTGCCTTCATGAATTTTTAATGTTGCAAACAAAAATAGTACAACAACCACAACCACTACAATAGAACAAAACAAGTAAAGCTGAGTTTTACAAACTTACACAATGTACACAACTGAAGACATATTTGCCCAAGGTGGTTTTCATTGAGATCTGCACTATCCTGTCTTGATATACACTTTGTAATCTACACAATTTCTCAAACATAGGACTTCTCAGATCAAGTTTTACTCACCTTTTTGTTATTGATGTCCATTTGACTCCTATTGACTACTCCAATGATTCCAAGTTTGACTGGAATTACTGTTAAAAGAAACAAAAGCATTCTCCATCAAACATGACGAAAGGGCAACAAATTATTTTTTATTAGGATTCTCTCTTATTCACAATTAAAAGTAATTATTGTACATGGTCTTGGATCATTCATCCTTAAGGTCTTATAGACTAATATCAGTTTATCAATTCATCATTATGTTTTCACTTTCAAATACAAGGGGACTAATTAAATCTAATAGAAAGGTAGTACAGCAGGCATAACAATTTATGCAGTCCAGGTAAGAGGGCTTATATTTGAAGGCTTAAATCCCTTCGTTGATGAACTGCATATCCAAGATATCTAACCAGGTGCACATGATGCAAGCACTTTGGAAGGTAGTTTATGGAGTACTAGTCAAGTTCTTGATAGTAAAGAAGAGAGAGAGAAACAAAGAGAAAGAGAGAGAGATAAGGAGGGGGGAGAGAGAGAGAGAAAGAGAGAGAGAAAGAGAGAGAGAGAGAGAGAGAGAGAGAGAGAGCGGAAGGGTAGGAAACAGAGGGAGGTGGTTGTAGAACAGACAGGAAAAACAAGATGACAAGACATGTAGGCAAGGACGAAGAAGCTACAGCTAGATGGATGCCTTACCTCTACCACACAGTACATCCACAGCATCGGTGCCAGCATCCATGAGATCCAGCTTGGTAATGACCGCCAAGGTCCTCCTACCATCCGGGTCTATCTCCTTGGCCAACTTGAGAGACTCTGAGGTAGCCATGTCTGTATTGGCCGACGTGACGGCTAGGATGATGGAATTGGGATTGCCGATGTACTTGACGAGCATCTCTCTGATCTGAGATTCAATGTCCTCGGGCTGGTCACCAACAGGAACCTATAGGGAACAAAAGATATGGTTGTACAGTCAAAGTGCAAAGACCACCTGTCTACAAAGGCCACATTTGTTGTTTCCCTTGAAAATAGTTTCTTATTGAATCATGTACTAAAGGAACCTGTCTACAAAGACCACCTGTCTACAAAGGCCACTTTTTGTGTTTCCCTTGGGCGGTCGCTATAGACAGGTTTGACTGTAAATTAATGAGAGGTACTGAAGGAGTCATGTCTGTATTAGCTGAGGTAACGGCTAGGATGATGGAATTGGGATTGCCGGTGTACTTGACGAGCATCTCTCTGATCTGAGTTTCAATGTCCTCAGGTTGGGTCACCTATACTGCCACCTCAAGGTAACACAGCATGTAGCCATCAGCATTACAATGTTGCAGAGAACAAGAATGAATATAAAATCACTATGACACATTGGAGAATAAATTAAAGTTTTTAATTTAACTCAACATACCATGAACAATTTCATAGTCAATTGAAACACTTCCATACAAAAATCTAGCAGTACCTGTGGTGACATTGAAAACATAAAATCCATTTGGGCACTCTCAAAGTCCAGTTTTCATGGTACAAGTGGTGACAAAACTTTTTTTTTTTTTTTTTTTTTTTTTGGGGGGGGGGGGGGGGTTAACTTTCAGACACACCATCTGTTTATGACAACCAAAATACATTCCAGGTACAGTCAAACCTGCTTTAGAGACCAAGACCACATTTTTTTGTTTCCCTTGGGCAGGCGCTATAGACAGGTTTGACTGTATTATCAGTCATAATTTAAAACCAATAATATTAAAAGGATTTAGATAAATGCATAAAGCTATAGTCACTCACCTTGGTTAGCCCTGGCAAATCAACCAACGTCAAGTTAAGAACCTTGGGTGAGTAGATTCTAAGGTGAATTGCATCATGGACAATTCCCTGAAAAGAGAAAGAGTGATGTAAATAATAACAATTCCAGATTCAAATTGTTGAAATTGAAATCTAAGAGAAATCTAAAATCTATAAATACAATATTCTGAAAATTCTTTGTGATTGCTAAAAAGAAAAAAAATGTATTCAATACAAATTGTATCATGAATGCCCATTTCTATGGTTGTGTTTTCAGCAACCATGCAGAATCTCCTGACTTCATTGTTTGCAAAAGTTACCACTCGATAATTTAAAATAATAATAATAATAATAATATTAATATTCCGCTTTTATACAGTGGCCAATACAGCGATAAAACGATGTGTCTAAGCGCTTTACATATTATTAACCCAGTCATCGGATTCAGGCTTAACCACACACAATGTATGCACAGTCTGGGCAGTATAAAAAGGTTAAGATGATTACCTTGTTGGTCCCTGCCATTCTATCGGTCTCATTTTGAATTTCTTCTCGAATCTCCTCAAAGTCAGTGTAGACCTTGTTCTTGGTGTGCAGAAACTTTCCCCATTCATCGGCTGTGATCTCTTCTACAGGGAATAGTGAAACAAAATCACTTACATGTAAATGTATTTTCACTGTGGTATACATGTAAATATTCTGGTTATGACTAGTAATAGTTCAAAAGAAAAATAGGAAGGAAATTGATAAACATGGAATTCTTAGGGCTCTCTTACAATTTCATGTTACAGAAATTAATACCAATAATGAATAGATGTATTTTTCAAAAAACATATGGATGAGACTCAAAGAGGTAGAAAATAACTGCGGTAGTATCCAACATAAGTAAACTTAACACTAAAATATAGACACATGGCGTACATACAAAATTCACCCGAGCAAAACTTCTTGATAACATACTTTACACAACTTGAGGGAAATATATTTTCTGAATACTGTAGCTCATAACCTTCTCTTTCATTCTGAGTGTAATAGACTGTTTGAGCCTGACTTTCCACAATATTTCAGATGCTTCGATCATTAATGTTATCTGTAAAACAGAGTAAATTTAACATTGCTGGTTGAATCAATTTTCCTACATACTCTCAAACAATGAAACTCATACCAAAGCTGCATCAAAAATATAAATGATGAAAAATCGATATAACGAAAACACAATGTTCCTTCTTTTTTTCTAAATCAATGAAAAATCAATCCAAATTAATAAAAAACATTGATGAGCCAGCAAAGAATATACTGCATGATCATTGGAATGTGGATCAGGATTTAATATATGCAATCAACATGACAAAAGTACAAAAATTAAGTGCCATTTACTACTGCACACATGTGGCTCAAATCAAGCATTCATGCTACAATGTGCAAGTCCTCATTCAACGACATTTGCCTTTGTTCACTCACCCTCATTAGTTCTTCCTGTCACTGCCCACAAAGGACACAGGGTTGAAATAAACACAAGTGTAAGTTACAAAAACCCAAAAGCACTAATTCATTGAGGACATGCCCTAACATGTACAGTACATCTGTTAAACTGATCTTGAGTCTCATGACAATAATGCTTAGCTCAGTCCAAATAGAAACATGCATCACAATGTGTACATGAATGACACATATTAATTCTAAATACCAAATTTGACTACTAAACTTTACAAAATATACATGTACATGATACATGTATGTTATATTCTCAGAACAGTATGAGTGAGACATTCACATACACACACAAAACTAACTCTTTCTTACAAGAATTGAGTGTCATTGAATATGATTTAGAGAATTTATATTCAAACTGATATTTCATACGATTCAGAACTTGTAATGAGAACATGGAAGTTCATTTTGTTGCCATATCATAACTAGAATAATTGGAATAAGAGTAATGATATGATATTACCAAATTTTTTGATCTCCATTATTTTATATTTGATAAAACTGCATGTCAATTTCATATTTATATTTTTGGACATGAGAGCATGTGATGTATCCTGCAACTACACTGTCAGGTAGCGTATATTCAGACCACATCCTACATACCTTCGCCTTCTCCGCTTGCTCCTCGTTTATCCTCAGGATCAACATGGACCATCTGCAGGACCAGAGGCCGGCGAGTCACTATCCCATTTCCTGTTTCAAAGAAAACATGTTAATCATTTAAAACATTAATATTTTGTATTACATCAAGATTTAGTAAGGATAATGGAGGAACGACTCATTCTAAGAACGGGTGAAAGCATATAATCCATATGGTTATTCAGTGGTATCTATGATTACAAAAAAAGTATGCTATTTTACTTCATTATTCTATGGTATGCGTTTTCTGGAGAAAAAAATTACAAGTTCATGATATTGTACTTCAGTTATATTTTGAGCAAAACTAAATAAATGTTATGTACCATACAAACTTCACCAAAAAATAAAACAAGGTTGAGTTCTATAAAGTGAGAAAAAAAACCTTAAGAATAATGGCAGATGACTGATATTTGGTGACGAGTTAACCAAGTTTGTTTCCACTAATTGCATTCTTTCCTTGAAAATGGTTCAATAAAAAGACCTTGCCCTAGCACAAGATTAAGAACAAGCAAAGCACTTCTCCATCATTCAGCAAATCTGACACATATTTTTTGTAAATAAGTCAATTAAATGACAATGTCTTCATGACATCACATTCATTTTCATTACAAAGAATTTAAGAAGTAAACTACCTTTTAAAGGACAGTGGAAATGGGTAATTAACGATGATGGATTATGGATTGTGCATGCGATGGGCTGCTCTAAATTTGCTGCTCTAAATTTCATCATATTTTCTGTTTCTGAATAGTCATTTGGTTTAATTCTTGCTAGAAAACTGATTAGGGATTTGCTGATATATCTAATCAGCTAATTCAAATAATTTTGGGTTAGATATATGGAAATTTATCCACTCTCACTTTACTTTGCAAATTTATATAAAAAGCGCCAAAACTCAATACAGTCCCATACACTTCATTTGCTGTCTGGGACAGTTCATCTCATCCCTGATATAGCTGATCAGCTATCAGGTGCTAGCTGCTCACCAGCCTCACCTCCCGTGAGAGTGGTACTCTACAGTTCCACAAGAAAAAGTGTGGATCTCCGAACCCAAATCAACACTGATGTGTTGGAGAACATGTCTAAACTCTGAGTTAGACAGCTGCTAGTGAGATAGACAGTTCCAGTCTAGAATTGATCTAGATCTAGTGACGTTGCCGGCCGCCGCCGCCGCCGCTGCCTTGATTGTGTTCAAACTTCAAGTCCAAGCAAAGACAAGACTCCAAGTCCGAGGCATAATTACAGGCTGAGTACCAAATATATTTCGATAGCTCCAGAGCCCTGTGCATGGTATGTACTTTATGTTCTCCATGTTGTGTTTTACCATCTCTACGTAGATCTACCCGCTACTCGTCAATTCTCTGACTCTGTCTAGTATGTACTGTCTGCTATGTATGTAGCCAACGTAACTGTACTGTGAAGTCTTGTTTTGTACCCTCTATTACCGTCCCGTGCCTGTGAACTTGATGTTTTGTGAAGCCTTGTATAGTCTACGTGCCTTCTATGAACAACCTCCATCCTCAACTCGTGTTTGCATGATAATATTATTTTTCTTTTTTGTGCTGTATCAGTGTATGTTCTGATTGTGATCATACTGCGTGCTGAAAACATTGATTAGTCTACTAAGCATGTTATTGTACTCTTTCTTGTACTCTCCCATGCTTTTGTGACACTGATTAATTTAGAGAAATATTTGGAACTAGATATACTGTGTGCTTGAAATCATCTGTATATAAATTTGCGTTCTTCTTATATACGAGTATCCTGTGTTATACAAAAAAAAAAAAAAAAAAAAACTTGACAATGGTACAGACCAAGAAAGTAAACAAAGGTCGCATGTCTGATGGAAAAAACGTCTCAGCTACTTGTAATAGCCCAAGCTCACTCGAGGATACTATACCACACAATCCAGATGAGAGAAACAGCAACCAAAATAGCCAGAGTCTATCTGATAAAGATAAAGATAAGTCTATATCTAAAAAGAGGCATAGCCTTGATGGCAAAATCAACCAATATCTTGTAAAAGATAGTGCTCATGGTAAAAACGGAGATATGCAATTAACCGTCCTTATACCTCAGAGAGTGATGCATGGAATTAAAGATACACTCTGTGGTCTAATGAAAGACCAGAGCCCTCTCCACGGCACGCCTCTCACAGCTTCCTGGTCCAGCTACTCCTCTCCCGGCGTCGATTTAGTGGGCTTCACATTTTACAATAGGCTCACCTCTGGCAAACAAGGGAAGTGGAAACAATTCGAAATCCAATTACGCTTCAGCACAAGTGAAATGGCTCTTCATGGAAAACACCTTGAATACCTTAGTGATATAGTCCTTCCCTGGATCACTATCAAACTGAAGCAAAACCACCCAAACTTCTTTCTGAATGCAGAACTCTCCACTCTCCTCATCAATATCTCTCAACTCTGTCGGGCATCCAAAGAGAAAGCAACCTGTAATTGCCATGAAGATGACAAATCAATTGCCTGCTCGCTATGTCTCACTCATGCCTGCAAAGAAGCTGTTCAGTGTTCTGACTGTGAAAACTGGCATCATTACTCATGCCTGGGGCTCTCCCAATCGGAAATCTCCAGACTTACTTCCCCAGAAGAAATCTTCAAATGTGATGCTTGCTCTCAGCCAGCACCAATTCAGAAGAATATGACTGAAGTCATACAGAAAGACACATGCTCCATTCCTCCACCAATTCGGGATGACTGTTCTCAAGAACACACCCCTATTTCTGAAGACCCACTTTATCCAAACCCCACCTCGCAGAATACTCAAACTAACTCAATCCATGCAGGACCTATACATAGTATAGATGAGAAATACAGAGCTCAAACTACCCAAACTACCGTAATCCATATCCCTGATAACGTAGTAGTCTCCAAAGTAACTCAGACTGAAGTATCTCAGACCACTGCTCAGAATAAAACAGATCTGCAAACACCTGCTGACTCGACAAAACCCTGTGTCAAATGCAGCGCACTGGAGAAGACACTCAAGGAAGCAAAGTCTGCCTCAAAATCCTTGGAAAACATTCACACCACAATATTGCAAGAGCATGAAAAGGTTGTAACAGAATTATGTCAGACAAAGAGAGAGAATGAAGCCTCTTTACGCAGACTTCAAGGCGACAAAGACTTGATGGTTGTGAAGGAAGCCCAAATTGCCGATCTCAAACTGACAATGAGAGATCTAAAACATGAAAACTCTAAACTCATCATTGCAAATGACCTCCTACAGGAACTGTGCCTAAAAAATGGGCTTGACCCAAGTGCCAACCTGACAACAGATTCTGATGATCCATTCCGGAATGTCAGAGCACCCCTGATTGACAATAATGCAAGGCCGAAAGACCCCCTCTTCGCTGATCAGCCTCATACTAGCAATCGGTTTGATGTCCTAGAAGATCTTTTAGAGATGGATTCACCTGAGCGCTCTAGAACATGTAGTGATTCCCCATCGATCTCTCTCACTAAAAACCGTGAGCCCTTCAAAACTACAGCCCAAAGTCAGCATTCACAGTGGAAAGCTTCAAAAAGATCTCCTCAAAAGCAAAAACAACACATCTCACCTAGACAGCCTAATACCTACCCCCCTATGACAAGCCCCTACAGGAAATACTCCAACCCAGCCAGATGGGGATGGGAGGGGTCTTCAAAGAGTAGCCCAAAGTCGGGTAGCCCAAAGTCGGGTAGCCCCTGGAGATATGACAAAAAACGTCCGTCTGGTTCGGGCCTGCCAACCTCTACAAGCCAACAGTCCAATCAGCACAACTTGCCTCCGAAAAAGCCTGAAACTCCCATGCAGAACCCTTTAAAATCTATTCACGTACTGCCTCGAAAGACATACCCGCAACCTATGAACGTGAATGCCTATGGTATCTCGTTAACTCCTCATCGGGAATCGCATAAGAAAGCCTCTCCAGCCACAACACTGGCACAATCTTCTCCTAAAGCCGAGTCTATCCCCAAAAAACTCAACTCTGGCATAGACCAATCTCACTTCAAAGAGCCTCCCTCAAAACCTCAAGCTAAGGACCCCTATCCCACCTCTTGCAAGAAGGATCAAATAGACTCTCCATCACATTTTATCTGGATCGACCACGCATCTCCTCCTTCGATACCGAACCCAACCAGGCACACATTGAGAAAAAACTTAGATGATGAGGTAATCAATGCACCAACACTTGAGAATTCTGGCACCAGAGAAACCAACCTACATGTAGGACTTGCTGCAACGCCAAATGACCGTTTCCAGGATAATCAGACCACTAGAAGAAATTGCTATGAAGAAAGGAATGGAAAGCCAATATCCATCAGTGAAAATAGCTTGAATGTACAGGTTAACCAGGATGATCGAAGAGTTCCCATTCCTAATCATTCTCACAACTCCAGAAATTCTACCGTCCAAACCCCACGTGTCAAACAAAACGCTCAGCCGGTTTTTCAGTATGGCCGTGCCTCGACCTTAACCCACATTGCCCTTCTAGAGAAAGCCTACTATCTCACCACGACTGCCTTAAACATCCTGACTCAACCTATGAACGTCCCAGATCTTATCAGTTCAACATGCCTAAGGCATCTCCACATGCAAATCATAGAATGCACGGACTCAAGCCTCCGTCTCCTACCCACAACGCCCATGCAATAAACTACTCTGCGGCCAACACAAACAGTCCTAGACCCTCTCCACTCAAACATAAACCAGTGAAAATACCAGAACTAATTAATGACCAACCCAAGATTGTTCTAGGAACCTTTAACACAAGAGGTTTCTCAACCATCTCAGCTTTTCTGCAAGAAAGACTTAAGTCTATTGACATCCTTGGAATCCAAGAACACTGGCTAACAGACAACATTCAAATATTAAGTGCCGTCAGTTCGGACCACTCCGTTATCATCAAGCAGGCAGAAAAGACTACAGACTCCTTCTACAGTACTCGAACGAGAGGCAAGGGTGGTGTAGCACTCTTCATTCGGACCACACTATCTGAGACATGCAAAGAAATACCATGTGAATCACCAAGAATTGTGGCAGCCTTCATCCGCCTGAGATACTCCTCAGAAACTCTTGTGGTAATCTGCTGCTATCTACCCTGTGGAATATCCTTGAATGATCAAGCAGGCTATCTCAACTGTCTTGCAAGCTTCACACAAATCAGAGAAAGCTACCCATCTTCCTCAACAATCATTCTGGGAGACTTCAATGCAGATACTGTTACTAGTAACCAGACCAAAAAGACAGGTTTTATCTTAAAGGACTTCATGCATCAGCATGCACTCACGAGCCTCACAGCCGCACATTGTGATGAGAATGACCATACCTACTGTGCAGATGATGGAAGACATAAATCCAGCATTGATGGCTTTCTGGTGCCAACCATTGAGCTTTCCCTGTTCTCTAATACTGAGATAACTGGGGATGAAACGTCTAACACCTCAGATCATCTTTTGGTCCTCACAAGGCGACTAGTTCAACCCAAAGATGCAAGACGAACTCACATCAGTGTCAACATGCAGAGCACTCCCCTGCACAGGATGAAAATCAAATGGCACACTGTAGAGCGCAAAATGATTCAGGAGAAATATACCACTCCCATGGAAAGAATTGCATTTCTCATCTTTCAAAACAATAACTCAAATCTCCTTGATGACACCTCGATTGACGGTCTACTGCAAGAATTCATCTCGGCAATGCAGATGACCTCACTAGCACTCCCGCACACAGTTCTCTCCAAGAAGAAAAAGGGCAAACCTGAATGGACACCACAAGTTCAAGCAGCTTACAACACTGCCCAGAAAGCCAGAAAAACCTGGCTGAAGGAAAGTGGTGCTAAGACAGGAAGAAGATATCATGATCACATGAGAGAAAAGAAGTCGTTCAGGAGTTGCCTGAGACAAGCAAATGCCATCCAACGACGTAATCTTCAAAAGCAAGTTGAAGAGGCCTCGCGCTCAGACCAAACACTCTTCTACCATCTGATAAAGAAGAGCAAAGGCAACAAGCAGCAAAACGTAACTACCTCCATTGATTATGATGGCCACACATTTGATGGTCCAGAAGTCATACTTGGATGGCACAAGTATTTCACGGACCTGGCACATAATCCCTCCCACCTCCTTTCATCTGAGGAAAGCAAGGACTGTGCAGATATGCCTGTTGAGAGTACCCAATGTGCCTCCATGAAAGACCCTTCGACATCCCAGTGCCATCATGTATCACGTCTGAAGTATCCTGAGCTACAGGCTGCCATTGACTCACTCAAACCAGGCAAAGCCAGCGGCCCTGACAATATCAGCTCTGAACACATCAAACATCTCGGCGTGATTGCACAAAGACTCCTTCTCTTCCTCCTGAATGCTATCCTACAAAGTGGTCACTGCCCAAATTCTATGAAGACAGGTATCATTCTGCCCTTCCACAAAGGCAAAGGAAAAAGTATGCAGGATCCTCGCAACTACCGTGGCATCACTCTAACTCCAACACTCACAAAACTGCTTGAAACCTGCATCAGGCCTCGCCTTGAGGCGCAGCTGTCCATCAAAGACATCCCTGACCAACTTCAGTTCGGCTTCCGCAAAGGCTTCTCATGTCAACTGACTGCGTTGTGCCTTCAACTCACAATCGAGATCTCAGGAGCTTCAAAGAGGCCATTGTATATTTGCTTCCTGGATACAGAGAAAGCATTTGATAAAGTTTGGCACCTTGGCTTACTCCATAAGCTAAGGAATTCTGAAGCTGATCAGGACATCCAGCACATCATACGCAACCTGTATAATGGAATGGTAAGTCAAGTCCTCTGGGATGGCAGAGTTACACAAACCATCCAAATCCAACAGGGTGTTCGTCAAGGTGGAGTCCTTTCTCCCACGCTATATACTCTGTTTGTCGATGGCCTGATCAAGAAGCTCAGAGACAGTCAGCTAGGATGCATCATTAATGGCCGCTACTCCGGTGTCATTGTGCTTGCAGACGATGTCGCCTTGATCAGCAACACACCATCACAGCTGCAAGAGATGATCACGGCAACCCAAGCCTACACAAGAGAGTGGCGCTACAAAATCAATCCCGCCAAGAGTGCAGTTGTGGTGATGAATGCTCGTAAGTTGGACAGCCAACAGGAATGGACCATGGGTGACCTCACTATATCCCGTAAAGACTCTCACGTTCATCTTGGAATCATAAAGTCATCATCTCAGACTGATCCGACTGATTGCATCATCTCGAAAGGTCTTCATGCCTTTTACGCCCTCTGCGGTGTAGGAGCCCATACGCTAGGTCTTGTCCCTCTCCTCTCTGTACGCCTTTGGAACATCTACTGCATCCCCAGGATGCTCTATGGAACATCTATCTTACACCTCAATAAGTCGATGTTATCCAAACTAAACCGTGCACAGACCCATCTATTTAAGCGTATCCTTGGCATTCCTGTCACAGCTGCTGATGAGAGTGTATCCCTCCTAACAGGCCTCATACCAATCAGCCATAGAATTGGCCAAGAAAAGCTACTGCTCCTTGGTCAACTACTGGACCTCGACTCCACCAGATTCGAGCGGCGGACCTTTCTTCATGCCCTCAGCATCGGCACTTCCTCAGTAAAAGGCCTGAAAGGTATCCTGGATTTGTACAAGCTTCCAACCATTGAGGACCTTATTACAAATCCTATTCCCTATGTCTCCTGGAAGCGCAGAGTTAAGAACTCAATCTCTGCTGCAGTCGAGGATGCTACACAGGAAGGAGCTGCCACCAAGTCGTCCCTCGCATTCTGGCATGGCAAATCCATCAACCCAAGTAACCTCTACCCCAAGGACCCACCATCAACAATAATCAGACAGGCACTGACCATAAGAGCACAGCTTCTCACATCAACCTACCTCACCCGAACCCGTCTTACCAAGATTAAGAAAGCAACCAACACAAAGTGTCCTCTCTGCAATCTTGAGGAGGATACCGTAGTTCACGTTGTGGCTTCCTGCTCGACTACTGTCAACCTTCTGGAAGACCTTATCGACAGAGCCAGTAGACTCCTGCATAATGTCCTCGACTCTGCACCAAATACACCACTGCTCAACACCCAGGACCCTTCCCATCTGACTTGCGCTATTCTCTTGCCATATGATCCATACCTTCCCTCCACTGTCAATGATTCTATTTTAAAGATGACACTTCACTATCTTTACAAAATTCATGCCCATCGCCTGCACTCCATACCCTCCAACTAAGGATTTTATAACATATTTACAGCAGCCTACTACTTCGAATGCGATATACTCGCTGATCTCCGAAAAGCGGAGGGACAACAACAGAGAGATAGGGATTCTGACAATTTTCACTCACTCATGAGAGAAATGTTCAGTGTATACTTCAATTAGCTTTGGCTAAAGAGTAAATACGAAAATCAGTTTCTCTCCCTTGGTGAAAGATTTACCTCAAAGTTCAAACTTCAGTTAGCATTTAAAAACCCCAGAGGATTCCAAGACGGATTCCTAAATAATACAATTTGGATCATACATGTATGTGGTTTATCACCACTTACATGGGTATTGAAACTTAAAATGGTTACATTATTTCATTCAAAATATGTGCACATGTCATGACTAAACATCATTCAACAGATTCACCTCAAATTGCTTTTCCATTCCCAATACCCAGTCAATGGTGAAATACTGGTACATGTACCTGTATCTGGGTCCTATAACCTCAATGGAGTTGAAATACACTGTGCCTGAAATGAAGCTAACGTGTTGGTTGGTGCTCACATTTTAGTTTCAATCAAATGCAATTAAGTGATTAAGAGAGTAGACTATGACTATAACTTAACATTTCTATTTTGATTCTCATTAATTCTCACTAAATGATTTCACATACATACAGCAATATACTTATGTGTACACCTAAAGTTTAGATTGGTTGTGTAAGGGAGCTATACACAGAGTAATCCATTCATATAATTTGATATGGTTGCTTAAAAATGAATACATGTACTGTACAAGCAATTTCATTATGTGTTCATTTTATTTTGGACATTCCTCCAGTAAAATTTTGCTCAGCACCAAAATATCCAGATAGTCTGACATGAGGATAAGTCTGCCAATTTTCGCAATGTTAAGGATTGGTGAAATCATCCTGGAGCCAGTTTTTCTAAACCATTTTAAGTCTAAGTTTGTGAACATTCTATAGAAACGCAAGTGTATTCTATAACACACATTTCAATGGGATGTCCAAGAAGTTAGACCTTTATGACCGTTTTGAGTAACAGACCCGAGAAGTAGTCTTGTGAACAGGTTAGTTTTTTAAAAGCAGAAAACTCTTAAGGGGAGAGTTTGTTTTTTAATACAACAAATAGGAAATTTGCAAAGTTTTGAAATTATAAATACTTGAAACACAAATTGGCAACTGTATTTCTTCCCTTGAGAGTAGATCTCTATAAGTTTGTTCTGAAAAACATATATAATTTATAATTTCATAAGGAGGAATGGATGTACAAAATGGGGTTAATGTCCCATAATATGCCAACAGCACAGTATAATTGCAGTGTTTTTACAACATTGTGTACAAAAAAAGGGAGAGTTGCTTAAAAAAGAAAATACAGAGTCGATTATTTAAGTTTGATCAATTGAATGAAAGTCATAAGACTTCATAAAATCTTAACTCTTATATTATACTTATAGGATGTCCCCCAAACTGTCACTGCTCAGTCTTCTTGTCTCATTTTCTGCTTTTCTGTCGGTTGAATTTCAACTTTTAAGTAGATACTTACCCCTTGGCAAGAAATCCTTTCCTACGAGACCCTCTAGAACAGAACTCTTGCCACTGCTCTGTAAATCAATGATAATAAGTTTCAGGTTACTCATTGAGCATGCTTTTAAATTAAAAATGCTGAGACAACTAATACAAGTTGACCAAGATTTTGATTCTAGCTTTCTTGGTTTTCTTAAGAAAATACCTGCTCAAGTTATCACATTATCAGATTCATATTTTAGCAAATTCCCTGTGCGCGCCTTTTAAAACTAATCATTATTTTTGTATAGTAAAGTAGACCCATCGAACAGAGTAGCTTCAAGAAAATGGACAGACTAGTCCTTATATTTTGTATGGCAGAAGTAGTTGTGCATCCAGAAATCTGAAATTTACACGCAATATTTGATAAATCTCCTAAATCTTGTATGACTTAAAGTGAGGGAATATCATTATTATACAGGATAAATATTTATGAAGGTTAGTGCTTTTTGATGCAACCATTTCATTAAATCTGTAGTTAAAAGTGGTGGTTTTATTCTTTTCTGCATCCAGACACACATCGACAACCCCCCATCATTCATTCATATTGAGTATTGACCATAATTGACTCAGTACTAGACCTGCCGGGCGTCGGGTAGTACCTGCATAATAATAATTGAAAGAAACATATTTCAGACATTCTTTTACACAAAATATACAAATACTAAATAGGAAATGTAACTACACTCTACACTAGTCGGCTCGATCATTTAAACAGAGTCAGTACAATGCAGGGAGCGGCAAATACATGAAGTGAGTAGTCGAGTACGAGTCGGACACAACCCACCCACACCAATGACTATGCACAGGCTAGGCCGAGGCACAGCACACTGGCTTACTTGGGCTTGGCTGGCTTGCACCATTATCCGTCGGTCTAAATTACCTGATTTCCGACGACTACAATCTGGGGTAACTGGATCACATCCGTTCCAACAGTATTAAAAACATCTTGAAGTCTATTTATAACGGGTATTAGTGCTTCCATCACGTATATATTTCTTCCCGGAATCCGTTCTTTTCTCGATCTCTGATACTTCTCGTTCGTTGATGATCAGTTGCAGGTCAATTCAGCTGGAGTTGCATACTAATATACTCTGTACAGGTCAATCAGCTACCACCGCTGTTTCGGGATGTTTTATTCGTCCAAAAATCTATTTTACTCTCTAGGTATATTAACATAAAATTAAGATTAATCATACATTTCATTCCAGATGAAAATAAATATTCATTCGATGAATTATTTTCTATTAAAGGACAAATGAAAGTAAAAATATAAAAAACAAAAAATAAAGCATTATTACTAGGCTTAGGAACAGGCTTTTATAGTAGCTGACACCGGTATTAATTGTTAGTGTGTATTGTTAATGGAAGCGGTCACATGTAGATCGTGATAAAACGGCTGGAAATATCCTAACTTTCTCTCCCTCTTGGATCTTGGTTGGTTACAGTTGTATTCATTTCGAGTTTTTACTCGAGTTGGTGGAGGGTGGAATAGGTCTCTCCCGGTTCTCTCTCTCTCTCTCTCTCTGCCCTTTCAAATATATCTATATACGATAAGGGATACGATATCTCTCTATAATATCTCCATCTCCTCTCTATCGCATCCTATTGCCCCCTCTTTCTCTTTCACGCTCTCCATCTTTGTTCTATATGAGTCCCCTCCTTCCTTTCCTCTCTCTCTTTTCTCTTCTCTCTCTCTCTCTCTCTCTCTCTCTCTCTCTCTCTCTCTCTCTCTCTCTCTATGTCTCTGTCTAGTCTCTGTGTCTGTCTGTCTGTCTGTCTCTCTTTCATTGTCTCTGTCTCGATCTCTCTCCCTCTCTCTCTCGCTCGCATTTTCTCCTCTCCTTTCTTTTCTTTCCCTTCGTCTGCTAATTCAGTATATTTACTAGGCCTTGCCTATAATGGATCCGCATCTAGCCATCATCATGTAAAACTCAGTATGTAAAACTATTCTCATCATGCATCAACATTTTTGGGGAAGAATGCATGGGGACACGAATCAAAACGGAAGACCGTTTCACTTTTGTAACTTTAAAAATAATTATTAATATTGTAGCCTCTCAATTTACTTACCTTCATCATAGTTATACATGTACTACGATCGAGTTCACGATACAAAATGACAAAATAAGAATACACCCTCCTTTTATTTCTCATGATGAAAAAATGAGCCTACACCCCCTTTTATTTTTAGTGCTAATTAGGTGTGCATGGGCCAATCGTGGCCAGAAGAGGTAAAATCTTTCTTTTTTTAATGCTAAAATCATCATTCCTACTAGCTGATGATTAGCCAAAACCGAGTGCTGGATATATATGTTAAAGTAGTAGAATTTTGGTCGAAATTTTAACCTAAATTTCAACAACAAAAATACACTGTAACACTGATTCTTAGTACAGGCACATATGGTACAGTGTTTGCTACATATGAAGAATTTCATTGTCGGCCCACTTTGATTTCCCACCCCTCCCCTATTCTGAATTAGTAGAATGTGATAAATCAATTCGCACTCAGTGGATATTGCAAAATTTGCAACAACACTATACGTACTCTTAATCTATTCAATCTTTCTGGCCTTCTCTGTTTTTCTATTCACAGCTTTATAAATATATAATCTTTTTATTTTACATGGAAAATCATGGGCTAAGCCCCCACCTCCCCACCTCCCCAACCCATGCAACCCCACCGTAAGGCCGTATATACCCAGACGCACCTCCTGAGCTAAGCCCCCACGGCCCACCTCCCAGAAGTCACATCTCCCTCATCTCCCTGCACCTCATCCACCCCAACCCCACCGTATTACCGGTACGTTACGGTACCCCTACCCCCTCCCTAAGTTAGTTTTAACTCCAGACCCTATAATTCGACACATGATCAGTCGAGACACGAGAACTTGAATTCCGAGATAAGAGAGGACACTGAGTGTGTACCGTACCTACTGCTTGCTGCTCGAGTGATCCAGGGATATGTGAGTTATCATGTAACTTTGAAAAGGTGATTATTAATATAGCTTGATTTCACTTTATGTTTGTAGACTAGTTGAAATAATGAAAGTTTTGTGATAATACGTCGCAATCAATGCGTGTTCTGTGTTCTAACGAGTAACGAGTCGTGGTTCGTTGGCGTTGCTAGGACGCCCCGCTGTACCGGTGGCGATACCCCTTTTTCGGTGTTTGTTTCGCCCAAGCTTCCGGGGGTCGGGATATATGGTGGAACGCCTCGCTTGAAGCTTCCATCGACCCCCATCGACTGCGCATTGACTCGCCTGTCATGTCAGCTGTCAGCGCAGCCCACTCAACTCAAGTTTGACCAAGAAGTTACCAGTAACTTCTTGGTTTGACTCGACGACAAAGAGTTGGCCAGCTTGCTCACAATTGCTCTACTTTAGGGAGTCTAGACCCAGGCATTTGGTTTTATGGCAGAAATTAGATCAATAACGTTGCAAACTTACAAAGGCAAAGACAAAGTTTGTGCATATTGATATTTAAAGGAAACCGCTCCCCAAGAAATGAAGAAGTAACTGTACTAATAATTCTGAGAGATTTATTATATTCTTGCCTATTAATCTACAAGATTCCCGACCAAAGTTTAAGTGTCAAGAGAGTATAAAGCAAGAATAATGTACAGTTTCTCAGCACGACATTTGCATCGCCATTTACTTGATTAAAAAAAAAAAGTTGTAGGTCTATTGCCCTAATTTGCGACCGACCCCAAAATCTTGAAATCTAGCTTTGGTCGGCTTTTTAAAAAAGTTTTATTTTTTTTTACTGTTTTTTAGAGAAAATTGAAGCAAAAAAATGAGAAATATCAGCCCAAAGAGGGAGGAATAAAAAAAAAAGATTTCCGACCGACCGACCCATGTTTTGGCACCTAAAGGGCCAGACAACATCTTTTCTTTTTAGGCCTAATAGTAATGTGACATACTACATGTATGTGAAGTTGTTTATCAAGTAAATGTATTCAAATTTATGGATGCTTCCTTCTGCCTTATTAGGCATGTGTGGTGATCGATTATAAGCATTTCATTTACTTGCTATTACAATTGCCAGAACGCAAAGTGCATAAATTTGTTGGTGCTCTTCTGGGGTTTCTCGTAAATGAAATAGATTTGTCAACTGCTATTTTTTTAGTATTTTTAAATGAATTAGTTACAGTTGTTCCCCTGTTATATATTTTTCACCAAGTATAATTTCTTTCTTCTCAAATATGATTTTTCCTCATTGAAAAGTAAAGGTTTTGTTATCAATTTTAAAAGTCTATCCAACTAAAGCTTGGTGCACGATACATGTACAACTTCAACTGGTACTAACTAAAGTTTCAAAGTAATATATTTGCAAAGTTTTTCCAAGAATTTTGCCAATTAGTCTGATATTTTTACTTCTTCAACTTAATCATTGGGATACTTGACTGGGAAATGACCTCTAATTCCTTTTCTGGTGTATAATTTAGAATGTCCTGTTTTTGTTTATTGGCTACATTATTGTCAAGTGTTTTAAAGGAAGTTGTGCAATATCCTGAGCTGTCAATTATGTTTGTGCACTATTAGTCTACCTATTGGTGTACAGTGGAGCCAATAATTTATTGGACTGAATTGTCTTGAAGGTAAGCATTATGTTACCTTTATTTTGTTGACTCTTTGTGGAAGCTATTTCAAATTGCATTTTTCCTATTCAATCATTATGTTATGTTCATGTAGTGTTTCCTGGTTGTGAAGTGTGTAGGATTGGCAATAGCTCTAGACTATACAAACCGGCTCTGCCTCATACTTCCTGTTCTTTAGCATACATTGTGCATTGTGTGTATAGCCTGTGTATAGCTACACATCTGTGCAATATAAACAATCTTGCTCTTCAGTTTATGATATACCTGTCTCGTAAGTGTTTCTTATACTATGTATTTACGATCTTGTGAAGATTGTAACTCACCCGGCTGTAACTCACTAGAGCAACAAATAGAGATTTGTGTTGTGTGTTAACTTTTATATCATCTCAAATATTAAAATCACTTCTTATTTGGGCTTCAGCAGTTGCACTTCTTTTATATCCTATCATAGTTTTTTTAAATTTCATTTGAGTTTTCACAAGATCATTATCAAGCTGAATATGAGCCATTGCAACATTCGCTGTCTGTCATCACTTTGGTCATATATTTTTCATATTGTTTTACTGTATATATATGGGTGTGTCGGTGATTATGCAATATGGATATATAAAAGTAAAAGATAATTTATGACAGTTGTGTGAATATAAAATTACAACGTTATAACTTATAAATGCCAAATTATATATTTAAAAAAAAAACATGTCCTGTTTTTTATCAGGTGGTGATCAAGCCAAACATGGCCGATGAGGAAGAAGAGTTAAAGATAAAGCAGTCCATTTACTCTGGCTCCACGTCAGTACCTGAACTCCCTCCTAAGGTGGTCAGGTTATTTGTCAGCTCAACATTTGTTGGTAAGAAGATATAATCATAATTTGTTGTTTATCATACTCCCTCAAGCCTTTCACTGACCAGTTTCTCTCATCCACCTGCTTTGATCAAAACCAAATTCATATGAAGGCAGCAGGACAATCTTCTTTAATTTAGTGATGTTGCAACTTTGTACAGATATTGGGGGTCATTCTGGATTTCAGAGGGTTTTTTGCCCGCAAAGGCACAAACCCCTCTTATAGGTTTATTCCCATTACTTTTTTTTCATTGCATGCAAATCAAGCAAATATGTAGTAGCTTACTTTATAGTGTGAATGTACAGAATACTGGTAGAAGTGTTGAGGAGAAAGGACAATTTCTGGGTTTTTGTATCACTGGCAAGTTATAGAAATATTCCTGGACAGCTACAGCTTCTATGTTACGAATATATGCACCCATTGGTCATCTTTACTTAAAGACTAAATGCCTTTTCTACATTCCTTAATACTCAGATGCTGAAGCGGAAAGGAATGTGCTGCTTAATGAGGTGTACCCCACCGTGTGGTGGTGGTGTAAGAATCATGATCTTGACTTCCAGCTGGTTGATATGCGGTGGGGTGTACGGGACGAAGCCTCGACTGACCATACAACCACCCAGATCTGTCTGAGGGAGATACAGAAGTG